CCCACAATTTTCAAAAAAATAAATCAACTATTTTCTCACGAATATCAAGCCAATCTTAAAAACTAAAATACTACTCGAGTGTTCAATAGTTTACCTATATAAATTTTAGAGATTATCAATTTAAATTTGTATACCTATTCCATACGTCAAATAGTGTACCGATACAAGAGCCTGTGTCTGTAAAGCGAAAAATTTCTGTCAGGTTCTCTTACTCTAAAAAAATATTTATTTAGCCTCCCATTATGGGTACAACCAAATTCTTGGTTCCGTGGATCAGTTAATATGCACGACGGACTCGAGTATTGGAATAGAACAGCTATTGTAGTTGAATTGAGAAAAATACGATTTTTTTATAATTAATACACAGATGTTTCTTAAAAAAAAAAAACTATCACTCATCACTCCCAACTGATACACATCGGATTTTGTCAGTTATTTACGGTTTGAAGTCTCTATTTTACAAGGCACCGGTCTGATGCAATTGTATTTTAATCTATTTTCGTAACTATCTGGCGTTGTTTTATTGCGCGTCCATTATTTGCAGTTAAAACCCGCGGTACTGCACCAGACGAACTCCTGCCGCTGGCTAAAAGATAGTTTTCTAAAAATACGGTAAACCTCATGCCAACAGATAAAAAAACAAACATGCAAAATTCAATCTCACGCATGGAACGTCAACCGGCGTTAAACACGAAAGCCGCGCCCGGCATGCGGTCTGCGTTGACGATGAATTGGGTTAACTTCTCGAACAAAAATGTTCACTACAAAAAAATATATATATATATGTAAATGTATATATTTTGAAACACAGAACATGTACCAACAAAAACCATTTTGCCAAGATTGACTAAATATGGAAGAATATAAGTATCGCTATACATATAAGAATTTACATGTATTGCTTGTAATACGATTTGGAAAAAGTGAGCTGGCCAAGAAAACGTTCAATAACACTAAATCAATAGCATTTGATGTCTTTGTTAACGCTAGTCAACAAAGTGAAAATAAAGAAATAAATGACTATTGTAAAAACCTGGGCTCGTAACGGATGTAGAATTTTTTCATAAAATAAAATTTTCTCAATTATTTAATAACTTATGACATAATTTTTACTTTTTTTTTTTATAAAAGCTATCTGTTAAAATATGGCCTTGGTAAAAACTATTTGTAACATAAGTATAACTGAATTACAGATGTTTTTTTTTTTTATATAACAGCAGCTGTGGTGCATTAGTAAGTTTGTGGATATTACCATTATGTTTTGTGATAGGTTATCGATTGTAAGATAATTTTCATGTTAAAAAGGGAAATTTTGAGGGTGGATGGTAGGAAATGTGTACTTACGGTGGGGTAGACACAACTATTATTATTTTGGTTGCACGCGGCCTCAGACTTTCTTCCGCAGTGCACCGCTCGTGATGGACAAGAAACCGCATGGAGGACACGGAGGGAAATGAGAAATTGCGCTTTTTAGGGAGGCTCTACGGTTTTTTTTTTTTGCATTGGCGAGCACAGACGGTGTGACAGAACGGCCGCTAATGATATTTCACCGACTTTCATTTCCGCCATGCCCAAAATAGGAAGAACCTGGTCGGGGCAACATTCTTCGAGGAATTCGTCCGCGCGGCGCATGTGCGCACATGTGAAAACAATACGGCCCAAAGCCCCTTTGACGTGCACTGTCAGCCTGTAACGGAATGTCGCATCGTGGGAAAGCGGCAAACGCCAAAGCAAATGCGTGCAACCGCCGCGAGCCGTTGGCCGTCGAGATTCGGCCAAATGCCAACGTTTACCTTTGGTCCGAGCGGATGACATAGTTAAATATGGGCCGCACTTCGTTCATTGATAAAAAAAAAATGCACCACAAAAGCTCCGTTTAGTCACTGCAGTTGAAATACTATTAGCAGTTGTACCTACACATTTGGACTATTTTCAACAAAACTGATACGCGATTTGTGTCCAAATGTTTATTTTTAAGTATAAACTCACCGAGTGGACAACACCGACTATCGTTCTAGTAGTTAAAAAACTTGAAAAATCTAGGTACTTATAACATTTCTTTTCCTTACAGTCAGAAGACAATACTGTAACCAGACAATTGCATACAATATTTAGCTTTTAATGCCTTAAAAATACATTCTAAGCTACATTACATAAAGCTACAACACTATTATTGCAGTGTTAATATTACAACAATTTTAAATAAATAATGTGTTACTAAATCATTCTTAAAAATTAACTCATTTGATTGTTTCGTTAAGGATTTCAACAGATAATTTTTTAAGAGGTGTTGACAAAAAATTATAAATGTGTTAAAGCTACATGTTAAATATACAATTCGGCCCAGCTCCCCCCCCCCCACCCTATAGAATACTGTTTTACCTATAAAATATATTCGTATAAATCAAACATTTTAAATATGTTATATGTTTTAACAGAATTTCTTCTTATTAAATAATTATTAAATAACTAGAAAAGTAATATTTTACATAGGTACACCGCTTTTTAGTGTAATAATATTTAATACTTTTATCCTTGTTAAGTAAGTAGCTAAAATAGCGTTTTTTTTTTTTAATGAAAATCCGGATTCCGAAAATTCTAATTTTGCAGTCTAACCACAAAAATACTCCAAATTTGACTTCTTAACTAAATAACATGAGCTATTGCAGGCGTTAGAGATTTTTAAGTGAGTGTCGACCGAGTTAGAACTTAAGAGTTATTTGTTTTGCATTTAGACAAGGGTCGGGTGTGTTACGCGATATGCCTATATAGACCTATTACCTGCAACAGGGCAATGACTATCTTGGTGGAGGCGCCGCTGCGGACCGCTATGGTGCTGATAGTGGTAGCCGGCGGACGGGCGTTTGGCCGTTCCATACCGCCGCCGCTGGACATAAGGGCCCACTCCTGTGTGTCTACCCCTTTAGTTGCGCCACCCCGAAATTCCACATGCGGGGGCGGTCGGACGCATTTGAACCGCACGACGAAAACTCAAGACACGTGATACCGGTTGACCGCTCGCATAAACCATACCTTTATAACACACACCATACACGCACGACGCAGCGACAACGGCCGTTCGGACGGTCCACCGGGTTCGGACTGACTGCATGCGCTCGAGATGACCACCAGCCGCCGCCGCCGCAAGCCACCTTATTTCTTGGTCTCCCCTCCCCTCTCTCGTCTGCGACGTATTATGTGGTGCACCGTATAGTGTTTTTTTTTTTTGTTATCCTTCGCGTGCGCGCACTCGACGTCTACTCCGAGAAAACCGATTATAATAATAATATTATTATTATTATTTTATTATAAAAAAATGTCCAACGATTATTTTCCATCTTTTAGGCGTTTATACCGTCGCGTCGTGTCGGTTTAAATGAACATACAGAACAATGTAATGCGCACTGTAAAATGTACACTCCGAAGAAAACCCGCATCTCGAGCGACACAGCTTTGGATCCGTGTGTACCCACACAATTGCGGTTTTCATTACACACACACACACACACCTTTAATTCAGAATGACATGTCAGGCGGTTTAACAAAAAAAAAAAACAAATTAATTAATGCACTTAGGTATGTATTATTATTATGACGGACACGGTTAACGAACTGGGTTTATTTAAATAAGACGTCACAACGCGTTATCTCGAGAAACGCACTTCTCTGAAAATCTGAGCAGATTTAGCGTAAAAATACATCCACGCAAAATAAAATAATCAGTCTAATTTCAACATGGACGATTTTTAATAAAACAATTTTGACTCGCTTTATCGAATATCACCCATGTGGAAATTTAGATAAAGTCTAATCTCTGATATTTCATAATTATACTTTTAAGTGTAAAAGTATAGCATTAAAACTGTTAAACGACACGACGGTGCATCTCCTACCTAGGTTCCCACCCCCCCCCCCCCAAAAAAAATGTCCGGCACTAAATTTACACCTTATTAAATAGGTGGTGTGGCGTAAAAAGGCATAATTTGCTTAGTTAGAATTATTATACCGATTAAACGGCAACTAGAGCAATTAGTTATAACAAAACTTAAAATATGATTTTAATTGTTAATAGTGATTACAAACATGTTGTAGATTTACAGACATTGATTTAATAATTGATTTACCCACTCGTAGCTCATGTATTGTCATGTTGCATGAAAATAGAAAAATTACATAACGGAACAAGAAATAGGTAGCGATGATAAAACGAAACTTTTACCAAGTAAAATTATCATCGTCCGTTTATGGTGTACATTTATAATCCGGTTTATTCGAATAGTGTGAGTTTACATCCTTAAGAGAATTAAAAGATCATTTTAGTCAATTGCACAGGCAGGAACAGTTGAGAAATTAATTTACATTATGTAAATAAGTTTGCAATATCTTAAATAGGCATTATTTGTCTATTTACCATTAATTAAAAATAATTCGAAAAAAAGTAGTCTGTTAGGTTACAATATAAATATTGTAGGGAATATATTTAAATCCTTAAGCGATAATTCTACCAACCATAAAACTATTTACTAACCAGAATTTACTTATTTTATTATTTATTTACTAGAAATTTGTGAAAAAAAGTTATTAATGCAGTCAAGTTTTTAGTTCTGAATGTAAACATTTTTACAACTACAAACCAATTAAAAAATATATATATTTAAATCGATTTTCAAAAATACCGTATGATTTTATAACCTTATATAAGTTATAGACTTTAGCTAAATATTTTATAGCAAACACATTTCAATCGCCACAGTCATAAGTCTAGTTCATCTGGAACAGTTTATTTTATGGAGCACCCGTTACAAGTACACGAGTAACCTTACTCCGTCTAAGTCATAAACATTAACGACGCAATTAAACCACAAAACAATAAAACAATTATTATAGCAAAGATGCAATTTCGGCCCTTCGAGTGCATTCGTCATGCTACATATTTCCATTGACCAACTTTTAAGATTCATAAAATTGGTTTAAAATAAAAATATTTTCTACATGCATACCTCGATTGGCGTTTCCGTTTGCAGGATCGGTGGAGTTTTGCGCTTAGGCTCACTAGATTCGGCATTGGCCCAAACAGGCGAAAGCATCTGCTGTTTTCTAGCTTCCATCATTTCCTCTACAACCTTGTCGACATCATACTATAAAGTAAATTATTAAATGTAATAAGTAAGTGGAGTGATGATTGATGAATGTCAAAAGGTACAAGTGATCGCATTCTTGCAATTTTACAGGGTATAAAAACAGAAATTGTACATCCAATGTGTTTTTAGGGGCGTGATATCGGTTTATTTTAAAAGTTAAGCTACTTATAGAACGCTGAAACAAGTACAATAAAAAATAGGGAATTCATTGAAATATTATATTATCTGATCTTTAAAAAGTCGAGATAAAATAAAAATTATCGTAACTCTTATTTAATTATGTTCTTTTTTATGTTGATTTTTTAGATGCATAATATTAAAATGTATTAAATGTTGTCTTTTTTTTAGTTGGTTACACTCGATATAAAACAGAATTTACAATACTTGTTCAAATTATATTATACAACTAATATTATTTACTAATTTTATCACTTTGTTTGTAAAAAACATATGTTTAAATAATTTTTTGTCAAAAAGCTATTAGGTACTTCAAAAAATTGGTGTATGTCTCAAATTATTTCAAAACAATAAATACAATGTTTTGTTGTTTACAATTTTTTATGTCTTTACGTTAAAAACTATTGTAAGTTTAACAGACCAAAAATGATTGTCTATGTTAACATTTAGCATTAAGTTAAATTTACCTCTTCTTCTTCTTCGTTTTCGTCATGGTCAGAAGCCACAGGTGTGCATGAACCGTATGAAGAAACCTTTGAGCTGAGACTCTCGGAAACAGAGTAGTATTCGTCATCGCTATCCATTGCTCTGCAATTCAAAATAAACAATTCATATAATATGCTAAGTAGTATCCAATTACTTTTATAGTATTTTAAACCACTTATGTCGAGTAATTATAATAAGACACTAATAAATTCAAACCGCTTCCTAGCTATAAATTTTCAAAAAAGCTAACCATTCAGTGCTACATAATATTTATAATAAATTATTCATTTTCAGAGAAAATGAACTATCAATTTTAATAGTTTAAGACTAAAATTATTTTTAAAAAAAAATATAGAAATTTAAATAGTGCAGTATAAATTAGACTACTCATTAAGCTTAGATCTTGTTTTTTATTATTTCAAACTATTTTCTTGAACTGGGTTTTTGACCAGACTTGGTAATAGATACTTTTAAAGGTAAAAAATGTAAATTAACATTTTTATGGATGTTTTCAAAATGGTGCTCCAGTTAAACAATGTTAACATTACGTTAATAACCAACCTCCATTGAAAGCTAAATTTTAATTTATTTGTTCAATAGTATTACTATGTTGTGACTTGTAATGTTAATGTATGTACTTTAACGGAAAATCATCAGCCAGCATTAAGATTAATAAAAGTAACTTTAAATTTTACTAAAATTATATTAAACGGTTGTGTGTATTTTTGTTATCTTAAACTGTTGCTATACCCAAAAAACAAATGTGTGTTTTACAAAATGCAAATGTGCAAATAAATGAGTCAAAGTGTGGCAAGTAATATTAATGGTAAAAACCACATGCAACGTCGGTTCACATGTATAAAATGAGTAATATCTTAATGTTTAGCTTAATACAGTGTCAACGCATTAGGCATAGGTATACAAAAATCTATAACTTGAATCATAATAATGTATTTGAATTTCTGAAAAAGTTGTAAGTACTTTTTGCTTTGAATATTAGTAGTTATATTATAATATTTTACTACGTGCATTTTGTACTGCTGTAGCCATACCAGGTAACTATAATGAACAATACCGAACTTATAACCAAACAAACATAAAATAAATAGGTACCTAAAGTGTACTTATAAAAAAAAAATTCACATGACAACCTTTTTTTATTAAAAATTAAACCACCATGGGCAAGTGTCCGGTAATCACACTGACTACAATAAGTGTTCGGTAATATCGTGTTAAATTATTATGTATGATTTTATTTTTTTCATTTTTTGGCTAAATCCCATTTAAACAGCAAATAATAGACCCGTCGGCAGGCTATGCGCTTGTAATTGTTTAGAATTTTTAACTATACTTACTTCTTTTTCTAAAGAAATATCACCATTTACTGTAGTCAGCATGGTTTTGATTTTAATTTTCTTGTACTCATTATTCTCTTATATCAATTAATATTATTAGAAATACAAAAACACAATCTTAACCGCCAGTATTTATCTCCAAACTTATAATGGATTTTGGCAGAATGCCTCATGCCCCTTCGGACTTTTGTATTTATAGACAATGTATATAACATATTTTTATACACGTTATCATGGATATTCGCGCACATGCAACCGACCACATGTGTGGCTCCTAAAACGGGAACTTAGAAAGCCAATTTATAGGCTACACTATGAATTGTAGTCGTAACTGGCATTAAACATCGGTTCCAGTAATTTTTCATGATATACACGAAAGAGTTTAAGCTTAGCCGTTATGAATATACGGGTGTCGATTAAGTCACCTATACGATTAAAGTCGTAGGCGCAGTTATCGGCTAAACAAACTGAGAATAATATAAATAAGAAAGTGTTAACATTTTAGAACCAGCTACTTGTTAAATAAAAAATACCGTAAAACATAAAAAAAATTATTTTTTTTAATATATCCTCTGGTACAGATATGTTACCAGTGCCATTTTTACCCTAAGAGTACGTGGGGCACAAGCCCAGGGCCCCCAGTCTGATGGTAGCCCCGAATAACACAATTTAAATCTTTACGTTTATTTTAGTTTTCTTAAAGGGCCCTCAAACTCTGTGCGCCCAAGGGCTCCTACATAGTCTAAGGCGGCCCTGTATGTTACTCTTATGATATGATAACTTGACTGTACTCGAATGGGTTCATACGGTTCATATAATATTACCATGTATTTTACTTTTTCAACTTTCCTTACTTACCTGGAAGTTTTAATAGCTTACTCGGTGTTTTAAATGAGGACGAACTTTTGTTTTTTAAATTTAATTTTTACGAGTTTTATAAGAACTAAGATTTTCAATCAAAATTTAAAGTTTTTCAAAATGTAGCTCACTGATAAGTGGCTTTTAATTTAATAATCTAAATAATGTGTAGGTATACAATTTCTAAATGAAAATTCAAATCCAAACCTCTATGGATGTTTAAAAATATCCTTTAATTATATTTATTTAAATAACATACGTAGGGTTTTTGTGTGCACCGGTACTTGACATGTGTGATTTGTATCCTTTTATAGCGCGTTAACCACAACTGTTGATTATTATAAAAAATAAAAAATACGGCACTCGCAGCCTCGACGGGAAATTATAAATCAATTTACATAGCACATTCTTAAAGGGCTTTGGTTTTTTCACATTAAGAAAACCACACTGGTCTTATTATACGAAGCCCAAATCGACCGAAAAATTAAAACGAAATAAAAACACTGGGAACTATTATACCGAATGTCACGAAACACTGATGTCGCTCAGCACACTCCAATCTTTTCACTTTTCTATTTAATATTGTTATATTTCATATAAGAGATAAGTGCGCGACCGCCTAGATTGTTGCTGCCAAAATTGTTTATTTTAAACTCTTCCCACCCAAAAGCCATATCCGACAGAATGTCTCCAACCTTCGTCATTATGTCCCATGTTCTCGTTGCAAATTTTAGGTTAAAGACCCTATTAAATATTATATTGTTAATTATACATCATCGTATAAATTTAGATTGCATTTGTATTTTCTCATCCTAGAATCAAGTATAAGTAACAGTCCTGGAGTTATCTTTTGACTTTTTGTATTAATTGCGCGAAAAAAAAATATAATAAATGCCTACTTAATAATATGAAGTGATCACTGGTTCATTTTTAATAATTCCAAGGTCAAACGTATTAATTTAAAACAACAAAATTAAAAATATAAAGGATTTCATTATTTTTCATAGGTAAAAGCAAGTTGTCAAATAAAAAATAAAATCAACATCCTTTTTGTCATACCGTGGTTAATCATTTTATTATAGTTTTACTTATCATAGAATTAAGATTGCATGCAGCTGTTTCTAAGGAGTTTTGTATAGGCAATATTTAAGAAAAAAAAGGTGTTAATAAATTTCGACTATGTCAATTGATTTACCGGTTATTTTGTATAAGCTTTATGGTATTATTTTTAATTTAAATAATTTTTTCTTTGGTTAAAAGCCATTTTGATTTATTTTAGCTCCTAAAATCAAACAAAACTTTGACTACCTAGGATGGTCTAATTTCAATTCTCTTAACGAGATTTTAGTTCTTTGGCAACTTTACTACGTTATGTGGGAAGCTGATTTTCATTAAAAATTTCAGTTTCTTGTAACTAAATTAATTAAATTAGCATTATTTTCAATATTAAACCCCAATTTTTTTACACAAAAATTAAAAATCTGTTTCTTACATAACTGTTTTTAGAAAAACACAATATTATAACTTTTTATCTAATACTGATTAGAGATAATTAATTTTTACAAATTATTCATTAGTCATTAATTAACTTTTATACATGATAATTAGTTGCAGCCATATTATTTCAACTATACTTTTTTCAGATGTGTCCATGGTTATGAGAAAAAATCATAAATAAATAAAATTAATTATTAGAGTTAACAATGTTTTCTAATAATTCATACCTATTTGTATAGTTAAAACCAAATATTAATAAAAATGAGTACAAAAATAATTGCATTTGTATTTGAATATGTTTTATTATGTATAGTTAACATAGTTTAACCAAAATATGTAATTTTACTTATCCAATGAAAGATCAATAAATTATGTATGTTATACTTTTCATAACCAAAAATACATTACAAATTTTTTAACCATAATAGAAATATTTAAGTAAAAAAATATATTTACAATAAAAAGGAAATATATTCATTTTTTATTTTTCATTCCATCTTTTTGTTTTTTCTGCTTTTTCGTCTCTTCCTCATCAATAGGTGCGGCTTTAACAAAAGGTATTTCGTCTTGATATTTCGAAGGCAAGTATTTTTTCAACAATTCAGGAACCTTAATTCCAGTTTCTGTTTGGTAAGTTTCCAAAATTGCACAAATCACTCTTGTTGTAGCACATGCTGTTGCGTTCAACATGTGTACATAATCTACTTTTTCGTTCATTTTTTTAGTTTGTCCATATCGTACCAATAGCCTTCTTGCTTGATAATCAAGGCAATTGCTGCACGACACTAATTCTCGAAAAGCGCCGGATCCAGGGAACCACGCTTCCAAATCTAGTTTTTTAGCTGCAGCGTTGTTTAATGCACCCGATACAATATTCACAACTCTGTAAGATATTCCTAGATCATCATAAAATTGTCTGGAGTTGTTAATCATTTCATCGAACAACGTCCAGGACTGGTCATCAAACGGCGATGCCAAAACAAACTGTTCAACTTTTTCGAACTGATGTACTCTGAATATACCTCGAGTATCTCTTCCGTGAGATCCCACTTCTTGTCGGAAACATGTAGATACTCCAACGTAGCGGATAGGAAGACTCGCTTCTGGAAGCCATTGGTCGCGATGGAGAGCTGCGATGGGTTGTTCGGATGTGGCAATTAGATATTTTTCATCTGTTTCACCTTCCCCGACTTTTTCACTTCCCTTACCAATTACTTTGTACAGTTCTTCATCAAACTGTGCAAGTTGTGCAACTTCTTGCATAATTTCTTTTCGCATGAAAAATGGTGTATACAATGGTTTGTATCCTTTATCGTCCCACCGACGAAGAGCTTCTTGTACGAGTGCCGTTTGTAAAAATACAGCCGGGCCTTTTAAATAATAACCTCGGGCACCCGATACAGTGGCGCCAGCATCACTCTCTACGCCATCGATCATGTGTATTAAATCTACGTGAGAATACTTCTTTTTGACCGTACAATCCCCAACAAGAGCGACCACGGCATTGTTGTCCTCGTCGTTATCAATTGGAACAGACTCGTGTACGAAATTGCTTATTTCCTTGAAAGAATCGTTTCTAGTCTTCTCGACTTCTAGCAAATCCTTGTCATTTTGAGTGAGGGCGCTGTCAATGAGAAGCCTGATTTTCTTAATTTGTTCAACGGAAAGTGGTTTTAATAAATCTACATTTACCGTGTCTAAATCGAAATCGGTCGCAATTTCGGTACTCTTGTCAGCCTGCGGTTCTTTCGATTTAATTTTCTCGCCGATAGTTTTACTACACAGGTTTTTTAATTTATTAAAATTATCCGCTTTAAACCTTAACTGCCGCCACTTACTGTCAGCTTCCACGACTTTGTCCACCAAAGTTGGATCCTTGAATCGCTTTTTTTGGTTTTCGCGGATTTTTTCAGGGTTTCCGCCCTTTTCCGTTCGGAACAAATCTAAATCGAGCACCATCGCGGACAGTAAGTTATAAGTACAGTCGATAAATGTATGTTTTTGGACAAAACCAATTGCTTACGACGTGTCCAACTTTCAAAAAAAAAGTATTATTTATTAGCCCTCGGCCACAGGCCACGATAATCAAACATAACCAACAAAGCAGGACGTGGTATCAACGACTGTTGTCAATGTTATCACTTATCAGATACAGCGGTGGACGTTTTACACTAACGCCATCTATTTATTTGCTTTGTAAAACATACAATTGTGAAATTAAATATTTACAAAAATGTATATTATAATTTTGTAATAATTTATTAAATTAAAAAAAAGAAAAAAGAGTTTTAATAAAAATAATATGCACACGTTAATTAAGATAATATTTTGTTTTTCACTACCATATTCATAGGAATAGCTGTTTATAACAGTAAATAATTAATAAATTATAACAATGGAGAAAAACACAAACTACTGCAGAGCCAGCACAAAACTAACTAAAAATATTCTGCATATTGAATAATAGTTGGATTTAGTATAGAAAATTAAAAGTAGTTAAATATAAAATGTCTGCCTTCTATATAAAATAAGGTTAACAAATTAACGATTAAACAAAAGTGACTAAATTTAATGAAAATGTGAATTTAGATTTTAGACCCAATACAGTTACTATTATTTATGTAAATATAAAGTAATTCATCCAAAACTTTATACATATTTGTTATTAATTAATGGTACCTAATTTATTGGGTCCCCTTATTTGTGTTGCATACAAATATTATATCTTTTTTTTAAAAGGTAATATTATTTATTATTATAAATACTTACTGTAGTGTTTTAATTAATTATCATCCGCGCTTATAAACGACTCAGTATTCAAATATATTGCTAATCACAGAGATAGTTTTTTTAATAAAGAGTGCACTTTTATTAAATTGTTACCTATAGCTATTGGTAATTTTTTTAAGTATTTCATTTGTGTAGTTTTAAATGAATATGTTACATTTTTATGTCTTACAAAAAGGTTTTTTTTGTATGCAATTATTATACAAAATCGTCTTACAATCACTGAACCACTGTTCTATAGAATATCCAACACAATTTCAAATACACACAGTAACATATTTATTATATATATTTTTTATTCTAATCTTAACTAAATAAAAATAAATTACACAATATTTTGTAAAGATATTTGACTAAAAAAAATTAAGTAAATTCGTTGACTTTTAATGGTATACCTAAAACTAAACACGTTCATTAAATAATAAAATAACAGAACATTATTATTTTTTAACTAAAAAAAATTAAGAATTTATGTCTCGGACCAGTCTTGTTGGTGCGTTAATATAATAAATTAAAAAATAAATATCAAGTCAATATTTCTCAAAAAACTCCAGCTAACTGTTTAGCCAAATTTTTCTTGTAAAAGTTGCAGTCATTGTTGTTAGTTTCAGTAGTGTAATCAATATTATGTAAAACAACAATTTCTTCGTCGATATCTTCTTTTGTTGTTTCGTTAGAGATCGTAGAGCTGATTTGTTCAGAAACATTGTCAGATTTTTCAGGTTCAATTGAAGTTTCGAGTTCTGAACTACTATTCGATTGGTGATCAGTAGATATATTTTCTTGAACCTTTAAACAATTATTGATAAACATGATTACAACACCTGTTACCATGTTAAATCTATAAATTTACCTGCTGAGGCTCTTCATCTTTGACGTGTTCCTCGGTTTTTGTTGTATCGACGGCTGCTTCTATTTCCCACCACGGAGAATTGGACGTAGCTTCTCCTTCGGAAGGAGTGTGATACGAAGAAGATCTAGAAGGTGGTGTACCAGTGCAATCGGAGGCTGTCACAAAATCTTCAGCATCAGATCGGCTATTATTATTGTTCTCTTCTGATTTTGAAGTCGTTGTATCTTTATCGTTTAATTTGCTCAAATTCACATACCATTCCTAAAAAAAAATTATGTATTCAAGTTATAGGGTTAAAAAAATACATTAGGCTTGGTTATTTTATGTACAAATATTTAACAATACATTTTAAAAAAATTGTTTGAAAAACATTATTTAAATACCACTTAATTAATAATAATTTATATAAAATAACCTGAGTGACATTTCCAGAACAATCATTCAGCAAGTTATTGAAGGTACTTTGTGCTAAGCCAGACAAAGTAAAGTCTAATTGTTCAGCTAATTCAGTAACCACACTGAGTTTTTGGCCGATCGAATCGACTGCGCTCTCATTAAGGTATGGTACATCTTCGCCCCTAAAAAACAACAGAGTATGTAGATTTTTAAATTTATTTATTTGTTAATAAAAACTGTGACCTACTGTTGTCGAATGCAAAGAGGTTCTCGAAGCCTAGATTTGAGCATACGGCCGAGACGAACAGTGCGACCAACTTCTAGTAGAATTTTCTCCCTTGTCACAAGACACTTGCGTAACCGACCCTTATGCTTGCTTGTATTGTTGTTGTTTTCATCTTGAATTGTTTGAACGGTTTCCATTAGATCTCTTAGTTGTCCGCAGTACTATATCACAAATGATTTATCAATTACAATATTAATAATATTAACTTCTGTTTCCTTTCAAACATCTTTTACGTACTTTGTCAACATTCCGATGGTATACAGCAGACACTCTTAAACGGGTCAATTGTTCTTGGCTGATGTCATCGAACTGTTTCCAAGACTGCCAAAGACTATTGGCAAGCGTAGAATTTCTGACTTCAGTCAATTTACATGATTGTCTTAACGCTAAAGCAGCGTTCAAAAGTTGACAACCATAATCGTATGTACTCTAAAAACGCATTAAACAGATAGTTATCAAAGATAATTTCAAAAAAAAACTCAAGAACTCACTTTGGCAGTTTCTTGAAACGACTGATGCTCTTCTTTTTGTGTTTGTATTTCATCAGCGTTAGCTCCAACGTGACAATGAGATTTTAATAAAACATGATACAAATCTTCTAACCACTGTATTGCCTAAAAATAAAATTGTTTGTGAACATAAAAATATAATTTAGTCAATAGTTTCTATGTATTTAAGCATTATCCTTAAACGTTATTAATTTATTTATTTAAATTAAATCGCAACAACTTACTTGAGAGGCATCTGTTTCATAGTTAAGCACGTATGAAACTTGCTGTAATGTTAAACGTTGTAGCTCAACGCTATCACAAAACAGTTGACACCGAGCCTTAGTCATTTCTAATATTTCTGACACGTTCACAATATCGGCCTCATAATCTACATTCAGTATAACTCCCATTGCGTTTTTAACAGGCATTGACAACATATCAGATAATTTTTCTCCTTCTTTTACCAAATTTCTCTCGATTTCTTCTACAAATCAAAATAATAATACATTTATATTTAGAGTATATAATGTAGTTTTTCTAATTTAACAATGTCAACTTACCAATATTTTCTTGTTGTACTTTTAACTGTAGTAGCGTACTTTCGGGTGATGCTAAATTTTCAATATCGGTGCCCATCACTAATGTCTCATATACGTCACTTGTGGTTTGAAAATACTAGAATTACAACAGATAACAATTTGTTTCATTAACTCAGAGCCATAATTTGTTGTAGAATTTCAATTTAACCAAATATTTACTTCAGCAACCAATCGAAAAAAACGAGCAGATGTTATGAGCAAATTTCGTCTTCTTTCCAATCTTGTAGCGAAACTTCGACAGACAAAATCCAAAAAGTCTTGTTGTGCCATCAAATCTTTATGATACTGAGAATTGGTGTTCTGCATTTGACCGATTTTGTGTAGCAATTCGGCATAATGGCCGTAGGTATCCTGTAAAACAATTATTTAAATGTAGTCAGTTGTGAGTCTATTCAAGAAAACGTACAAACTTACCCGACACTGGAGCTCAAGAGTTTCATGATTTCTTCGATACTCTTCGGCTGAAACAATATCGTAGCCAACCTGTTGTTTGCCGTTCATCATCTCTTCACCGGGCCCGAGAATCCAATTGATAACATGTTTGATGCCTTGCTCCAAGAACCGAATCTCCTGTAAAGTATTTATCCGATTAACATTAGTTAACAAAATGAATGGCGCACAATCGATTATTTCGTACCTTTATGCTATCAAATTTTTTCTGTACGTTGTTCCAGCAATCGACAACTACCATCATTTTGTCGTGGACAATTCTCATGTATCGATCAAGTGTTTCTTTGGTGTCCAGAACGTCTTGCGGAAACGGTTGCCCTTGATCGGAATAAGTTTTGTTTATTCGTTGGCACACCATTTGACCGGACTGCGAGACTTTCTTCACATAATCAATGACCAAATTGTATTTTTCAGCGGACACAGTGAGTACGATGTCGGCCGTGTTTTGTTTAAGCAAATCTTGATTGTTTGTCAAATGCTGTCGCAGTTTTTCCATGTCGGACACGGCATTTTCCGAGCTTTTTATAAACTCTTCTACTCTCTGATGCAAAAAAAAAACAAAAAAATGTGATATCATTGTAGTATCAAAAATGAACAGCTATAAATTAAACCCAGGGTCTGATGAAGTTGTGGCCAAAATTTACAATCAAACTTAAAAACAAATACAATTTTTTAAAGACCTAATTTTTTTTTTTTGCTTTGATTCAAAGCCGCGGAAATACTTTTGTAATGAAAATCTTGGTCGGAGTTTTTTAAGCGGACCACCGAATTATTTTTTAATTTTTCACACACTCACGATGCGATTGTGTATCCATTGCTCGTGGTTGTACGTCCATGATCCGCCCAAGTCGATCGGTAGCTGATCTTGCGACACGTACTTGTTAATTCTGGACAACGGCACGAAAATCGGCTGTAAAACAAAATGACGCGTAATTTGAGTTACAAATTAAAATGTTGTGCCATGTAATGTCCATGTTATTTGTGCCGAGCTCACTTCTCCTTCGGTACGCGTTTTCGTACAGTTTTCTACACGTTGTTTATCCCAAAACACGTCCAATCGCACGACCAGCATCGATCCGATATTGACATCTAAAATTTCAAACACTTTGTGCATAACACTCTTAGTGGTTTTCCACGTACTCCGTTGGGCGTCCAGCACAACACACAGCCCCATTTGTCTAGTATCGGGGCTAAAAAAAAAACATAATAATGTTATTACTTGCACAATATTTTTTATCAATTACTTTAATTTAATTGATATCCGTACGTCTAATAGTTTTTTTTAATTCCAAACAAAAAAATTCATCTCGTGTTTTTCTGGTCTAAAAACTAACGGATTTCCTTTAGAAGATGGGTAAAATTTAAGAGGTGTTATGATTTCTGTCATCGCGGTTCTTAATTTTAATGCATGGATATTAATATGGATTTTGTGTACAACCGACAATAGACGGAATGCCACAAAAGTTAAAGCAACTGTCCAAAACAACAAGACACTTTTTTTTCTACATGTGAGCGGGAGAGAACGTTATTGCAACTATTAATTTGCATATTATGGGAGTGTGTGACCTTTAATGGGTGGGTGCGGGTATTGTTCATACTAACACAGCTAACTTACTGTATGTGACCGCAATAATGTAGCGACTTTCTCTGCGTTAGCCACACTATCTGTCGTTTGCATTTAACATGTTGTGTAAATCATTTTTTTAAACGTAAAAAAATGTTTAAAAATGTTGTACCTACCCAGGTTAAAAAAATGTACCCTACATTTACTGACGGACGAGTCAGTTGTATCGAATTTATGTTCATTTATTTTTATACGAGTACCTTGCGAGATGGAAAAATTATTGACGTGAACAAAATATATATAATAATACCTACATCAAATTAGTGATTTTTTTACTGAAATAAAATATTGAATATCAAATGTGACCCAATTGTTAAACGCAATGTATAAAATAATTGTAGGTATAACTATATTTTGTTTATTTTTTATTATTTATTATTTATTGGTTTTGATTGTTAAGAACGATATTCATTGAAATCTAAGGTCGGAAAAAATAATCAATAATTATTTATATTAGCCTCTTTGAACTGAATGAACTGTTAAACATTTTACAAAACGAATTAAATAAATATTATTAGTTAAGGAAAACGAAAAATTCTATTTGTTAAGAGGCAGAGGATAGGCAATATATCGCAAAACTTAAGCTAGTAGACATTTTAAATATGCCGACTAATTTTAAGAAGAAAAACATATAAGTATATCTTGTTATAAGCTTTTAAGATTATTTTTCTTTGAGTTATGGCGAAAGTTTGATAAAAATGACTCGTAGAAGTCATTTTCTGGTGTATCTATGACGGATTCAATGTACTTTTTTTATGTGAAGCTAACAAAGTCAATAGTGATGGGAATCCAAAAATCCGGATTTTTAAAAAAAAACGCTATTTAAGCCACTTGAAAAACTTATAAATATTAAATACTATTACAATATATGTGTACCTAAGTAAAATTTGTGGATAAAAATTTTAAAAAAATACTCTTAACATTGTCTATAAAATATTTTCGGAGTTCAACAAATCGGAAATCCAAAAGCAGTTTTGGTCTTTTTGGTGTTTTATTTATTTTTAAATACTTACAGCTTTATATTGTAAAATTATTTAACACTTATATGATTTTTAAGTAGCTTAAATAGCATTTTTATTGTGAAAATCCGGATTTTTAGATTTTTTCTTTGGAGGCTTAAAAAGTTGATTTTTTATTTAGCTATTACGAAATTAGTTAGATTTATTAGAATAACTCTAAAAAATTAAAAATGGAAACACTCGTAATAAAATGTTAGAAACAAAAAGTCGGCCTATTAGCCCCCATAAAGAAGATGTTAAACTTTGTAACAAAAAAAAAGTGGAAATCGATTCGGTAGACACTTTAGTGTCAAAAGTAACTTCGTGTTTTAGTCTATATTTGTATACAATTTGGCGCTTTTTGTTCCCTGTTTTTATAATAATAATACCATTACCAAAAATAAGAAAAAATACCCTAAATTGACCATGTACAAATTTGAGTTTGTGTACCTATTCGAAAGTCGAAATTTTGGTAAAAATAATTTCAAAAAAGTATGTTAACATGAATAACATTAATAAATTATCTTCATCCTGAAGAACCTGTGGCATCCCGGACATAGTGCATACGGAAAAACGTAGTTAGGTATACTACAGGGTATCTGTGTAAAATCAAAAACTGCATTATTTCAATGCAATTAACAGGATAGAAAAAAATCGTAATATTCATTATAGGAAATACAACAATTTATGGCTATTATTTAGTTACCTTTTGTTTATGTGACAATTTTCTATACAAAAATTGTTATTCCAAGGTCAAACGTATTTATTTGTAAATTGTAATGAAAAACTGAACTATTACAAAGTTCTTCTTTACTTTTTACACAAGCAAGTAGTCTAATGCAAAAATAAAATGAACTACAGATTTGTCATATCGTGGTTATTCGCTTTGTTGCCAACTCTTTATAGTTTTAGTTATCATAGAATTCTTCGACCAAATTTACCAGTAGTAAGTATTGAAAAGTGTTTTATAAGAGTTTAAACTTAATATTAAACAAAAAAAAATCGCCAAATTTTTTAATTAACTATAATACTCACTATTTATTGTTACTTTAGGGAGAATACAAAATAAAATTCATAGCTGCTTTTTCTTGCGATGAAACCGCTAACTATTTGATAGACAATCGGATACATTTATTTAGAGTTTCCCAAAACCAAACAGAAATAAGAGGACATTTCACCTTAAAAGTTCCTTTCGATGATACCTTATTTGTAAGTTCTATGTGCAAAAATTAAATTAGATAAAGAACCTTCATTTCGTTTTTGCTTATTTTTACACGTATGTGTGGTAGTTTGATGTGAACATGGCTGTCTTAAGTAATATTGGAGGATGGAAAGATAATGCGTACGTTTACCGTTCTGGAAACGCTTGTTCGACATTAAAATTCTTCATGGGACCATCGTGGTCTAATTATATGAAAACTATGAACTTAAGTGAAACCCAACAGTGTCCAATACCACAAGTAAAATAAAAATACAATCAATTATATATGATTACCGTTTTTGTGATTCATGCATTATTTTTTAGTAATATCTAATATCTTAGTACTCCTGTTAGTATTACAATTTTATTTATTGCAGGGTCAATACGTGTTGCGTGGTTATGATTTATCAGAAGTAAACAAGTGGCGATTCCCGAAACAATTTTTTTATGGAACATACAAATTTCGAATGTACTATTCTGATAACAAACAAGTGGTTCTTGGTTGTGTAGTTGTAGTTGTTGATGTATTACGACCCTGGGAAGATTCTTACTATAGATTCTAATTAATTCGAATTTGGATTCTACATAAAAAAAATATATATATAACAACCTAACATAACAGTAGTGATTTTTATTTGATATTATTATAGTTAATTAATAAATAATGATATTCAAATTATTTATATTATAATATATGGCAATAATCTCGTTTGATCCAAATATATACGACACAAATAACGCTAATTAAAAAAAAATAAAATTACACATCATATTTTTTGGTTTTTCTTAATATTATTTTTGTATCTTTCCTCGTTTCCTCGACTTATCCATAAAATGAAAGCCTAAGGGCAGCTAAAAATTCTTATTAGACACTTCAATTACTATCTTCCTTGAATCAGGTACTTTAACTGTTATACTTAATGTTTTTTTAAGGTAAGAATGGGTATAACGTTCCTATAGGAGGCAATTTGGGCACACTCATTCTGTAGTTATAAATAACTTCTAGACTAGTAGTGGCATATTTTTAACTCGAATTTAAAGAAACACATTTAAACAATTGAAAAAAACGAATTCAAACGGTTGTCTCCTTAATTGTATCCTAGCCGCCACTGAACCACCTATAGTAACTATAGTATCTACTATGAATGTGTTGAAGCTTTCATGGATACTATATTTTTTAGTAGTAGTTTTACACTACTACTAAGCCACTATACGGGTCCAAATAACTGTTGGCTAATTTGCATAGATCCAGCTATAACCGGTTCAAAGTTGTCAGACCAAAATTTATGGTATGTGACTTTTGACTTGAGCAATTTGTGTCACGCATGGACCGTGGTTGTGAAATTTTCAAACCAAGTTCTATAAACTAAAGTAGGTGTACCTAAATATGGAGGCATAGTAACGAAGCGCGGTGTCCAAGTAGCCGTTGGTCCATGGCTGTACGACCACCACGACTAACGGGCGTCCGTCCAGATCTCGGCCTCCGGGCACTGTGGCTACTCGTTCCTGGAGGACGTGTATAATATCTGCCGCATCCATTCCGCCACCTCTGGTGAACGCTGGAAGAATAAAAAAACAAGCAAACAATTATTTAGATTAATTTTAATTATTAATTAATTTTAATTATTAATTAATTTTAAAAATTAAATTAATAGATTAATTAATTTGCAAAATAAAAACAATCACAATTTAACAGTTTAATTTTATTTTAAAAAAGTAAAATTTGTACTTAAAACTTTTTCTTATAAAATAATAGTTTCTGTAAAAAGCTCGAAATTGTTTTTAAATATGTATTATTATCTTTTTTGGATAAATTTTAAACTGGCCGTTACATTAATATAAGATATTTAATTTTCATTTTACACTTAAAAAAATAGAAATTTATGAATTTCATTAATTATTAATTACCTTACATAAATTTATAATTTAAATAATGCTAACATCTAAATAAAATATTCGTAGGTATAACCGCAGTTGTTTTGTACGTAAACATCTTCATGAGTTTTAAGAAACTCGAATAATGAACAATGTGTAATAAAAATTACTTCTTGAAATTTTACGTATAATTGTATCACATTTACTTATAAAAAAATTACTGAGAAAAACCTAGTGTTAAAAAACTATGCAAAAATATTTCTATATTATTTATGACAATATAAATCATATTAGGTAAATATCAACAGGTATCGATATTGTGTTTTAAATCGTGTCTCAATTTTTTTTCTGATAAAGAAAAGTTTGACCGTGGATTAAAAAAAATTGTTTATACTTTTTAAGTACACCACAAATTTTATAAGCATACATTAAAAATGTATACATTTTTAGGGCGATTTTCTCGATTTCAAGGGGAAGTGATGAAATTTTAAACTTTTAGACTTAAAAAAGTACCAAGTTTTTGCATTTATAAACTTGTTAGGTAGTAGGTACACGAATTAACCGGTCAAGTAAATAAAAAAGTTATAATAATAAAAACACAACATTTTAGAGACAATACGTTCACAGCTCCGCATCGTAGCTACATAAAAAACTATCTCGGCAAATCCTAACCCAACGAAAACTCGTTTTTGTTATCAATATAATAAAAGCGAGACGGCCTAGCATTACAGCTTATAATAAGTGTGTACTACAGAGACACACAAAGAGTCACGTGTAATGTGTATAATAGTGCTTGGATTACATGGTAAGTAATCCGTACCTGAACTGGTTCGGACCATACACAGGCTACAAAGATAGTACAAAAAAAAACCGTAGATATTACAATATATAATGTATCTTATGGGTAGGTATACTTAGGTCTTAGTATCATATCGACGCCTTTTTTTTTACACAAACAGGCTTTTTTACACACAATAAACATATCTCTTTCTGACTATATATTATTATTATTATTACTCGAATGTTATTTCATGCCTAATAAACGGTATATGTTGGTAATCATTCCCGACCATGTACACTAATGTACTTTAATAGCTACAACACGGACAGTGCGTGTATTATTTAAAGTTATCTGAGTAAAATAATCATAAACACTGCAGCTAGGTAGGTGTACATTAAATTAAGGTATAGGGTTACACAGATTTGGTTTTTGAGATTTAATTCGAATACATAATGTACGGTACATTATACACGCTTAATTGATTTCATGGTATCATCGCAAATAACTTAGAAAAAACTATTTTTTGCATACAGAAATGTTGTGTGTTTTAGGTCGCGCGTTAGCGTCAAACCAGATCCGGACGTTATTAAAATAGTTTTGATTAAAAATAAAATAATAATTACAATAAAAAAATAAAATAAATTTGTAATTATTAAAATGACAGGTTGTTTGAAACAGACTTACATTTCAAATTTAATTGATACAGTAAATAAAAATTAATTTTAAATGATTATGTTTTTCAAATAATTGTTTGTTATTAAAAAAAAACAAAAAAATGCCTGGTTAACTTTTTACAACCGACTTGCACTTGTGTGAATACCAGAGTGATCCACTCATGTTCTTGAAAAATTATTGCAATCTAGAAGGGGTAGATATTTTTTCTTTATTTACATTTTTTTGAGAAAAGTTTTAAATTAAGGGCCAGAAAATTGGACTGAAGGTAGATCATAATATAAAAACTGTGTTAGTGTACATGACATAAAATTCTAATAAAAAAAATGTTAACACAATTTAACCAAGTACAGCTGATACACATCAAAACTTTTTGGAAGAGTGATTGTCATCTCTTTCAGTAACAACGATTCCGCAAGACCTGTGATCTCACCGACAATAGAAGTTTCTTTTAAATTTCTACTGGTTTTGTTGATTTCTCGAGAAAATATTACTGTTGTTCATACAAATGCTTTGTATAAATATATAATAAAAAAAAGTAAGTACCTTACAACACACGTCTAGTAAGTATATCGTCTGCCGGCGGCACCATTTATAGTAATTTTCTGTAATTAACAAATTACATTAAAGAATCTTATTGAACAGATTTTTTTTTTATCGTTGAAAAAACTCGAGTTTATGTTTCGAATGACTTTCTTCTTTGTACGATCACCGACGATTTTTAGGAAGAACAAATTACTCTTTATGAACTATTATATACATAAAATAGAGTATTACTCTATACGTTTTAATTAAAATAATATATTATGTCATTTTGAATAGGTCAAAAAAATGATTGTTCGACTATAATACAAAATGTATAATAGACACGTTTTTATGGTATTATGCAATGCGCGTTCATTAAAGAAACGTAGTACTGCACTACACATAATCGTAATAATACATTTTACGATTTATATTACATATATGTATAAATTGTTTTTTTTAATTGCATATATTGATATATGCGTGTACCTACCAAAATATTATTTTAATAATTTCTATTTTTTTTTTATGTACATATTCTAATAAGTTTCCTATGCAGAGAAAGAATATAATATACTTCGCAGTATTATATATTTAAAACCTCTGGCATTCTTTAATTTGTGTACATGACATCGGTTAAGCCGATCAGAAATCAGAATGATTATTATTATAATATACACACTGTACGTGTCTTCTGTATAGCAATATAATAACGGTACCTACCTACCTAAAAATATTGTTTTAACTCGAGATTATTTTAGCGACCTCAACATTAACTAATGGAGTCCGAGACTTGTAAAAAACTATTTACATACCTATGAAAATTGTAATATTAAATTTTATGGGTTTTTTTTCGTAAAGCGCATACAACCATTATCGCACGTTCGCAGCTGTAAATTGTTTGAATAATTATACGATTAGTGGCATTTTCGTGCGTTCAAAATGTATAAACATAATATCTAATCTAATATACGCAAGCATTGTAAATTACACCGGACTCGTAAAAAAAAAAAAATTGCCGTGTAATCAAATTTTTTTTATTGCCTTTCGCAAAATTGACCCCACTTTCGACTGCAATGTCGCTCAAACGGCAAACCTAAATGCTATACTGCACGTGCACGTGTATATGCTGTAATAATATAACATCGATATTAATAAAACAAAAATACATTAAACCTAACGCTTTTATCATAATAGCAATTTAAGATAATAGAATATTAAGCATTGTAATTCTCGGTGGCATACCGTTAATTTATAAGGGCAACCACCACCATTACCCTCCCCCTCTCACTCTCATTGTACGTTTTTGAAAAACACAGCTTGACGTGCTAAATAGAATCTGAGACCAGAATTGGATTCAGCGACTAAAATTCTATAAAAGTTTATATTTTGGTTTATAATAAAAAAAACAATAATAATAATAATAAAGGTAAAATTCGACTATCGTTGTTGTGTAACAGTCGTTTAGGTATGTCCACTTTCGGTCGAAATGGATATTTTGCAATTATATTATTGTTCGTTGTTTATCCATTCTCGTACATAAATCTCAAGTCTTAAAAGGTAGCATATCCTATTAATTTTTTTATTTAAAAACTACAAGTAAATTACGAAATAGATTAAAGGAACTAATTTTACTATTTCCACTACTTTAAAACTAGGTTTGGACAAATGACCTTCTGCAACTCTCTAATAATATGGAGTGGCTATAAAGATCATTGAACAGCTAAGGTAAAATATTTTTTATATTTTAACATTTGATTAATTTTTTAAATATTAATATTTATTTAATATTTGATTTTTTTTTTGCGCAAAGCAAAGTAGGCACGCACAGTTTAACTAAACGCGAAAACATTAATTATTGTGAAAGCTGCACGTACTTTGGTTCGCACAAACTAACTGCGCGTGTTAATAAAAATCGTACAATCGCACAGTTTTCGTAGTGTGCAAACGAATATCGTGGGATTAAAATTAAAACTGAACGTGTAAACCACCTTTACATTGTGCAATTCAGCCGTTGCATTTTCGGATTGCCTCATAAAGTTTCGGTAACCCCAACTTACCCCGATGAAGACGTTAAGATGGGTTTACATGTTCAGTCTAACTGTGCAATCAGTTTGCGCAAATGAACTTAGGAGATTATACACATTCAGTTTTCATTCAAAACCGATGATATTTCGCTTACACACTAGGAAAACTGTGCAATTGTACAATTTTTATTTACCCGCGCAGTTAGTTTGTGCAAAACCAAAGTACATATAGTTTGTACACACAGTATAACTGTACGTGTAAACGGACCTTTAAAGCCGAAATAGCCACTTTCTTAAGCAGAATTGCGTTCCTAAATTGTGACTTGTATTTTAAAGTGCACGCGTTTATATTATGCAGGCGATTGTCATTATTACGTCGTGATCTATTCATTTTGGAGAACAATGTTGTCCACCCAACCCGAATATAATACATCTTATTAAACTCTTTTCTTCTTCGGATATATATATTTTTTTTTTTTACATTGTTTAGATTACACGAGGGGACATCCGCACGGTCAATTTGATAATTGCAGGAAATAATTTACTATGCAGGTGTACACATAGTGTTATTATGTATATCGCCTATCACAATGCGGCTTGTACCGAACACGTGTCTAACGTTTTTTTTAAATTAGTTTTTTTGTTCGTTTTTTAACCGACAAATTTCAACGTCTGGAGAATATCGTTAATATGTGGGCGGCTGACAAAACCCATTGAACCTTGACACCTGTGCGAGCAACAGCTGACCAGAAAACCGATTATTAAGTATTATTATTGCACGGACGTGATGCCGAATTTCAAAAACTGTGTTGTTTACCGGTTAGGTTACCTGTTTTTTTTTATTTCACACCGACCAACGTTAAAAAATAAAAAATTCCATGCTAAATACAGTAGTTGTATTAGTTTATATAGTTAACCCGTTTATTGTGACCGTTCAAAAGGTTTGACTCGATGATGAAGCAAAAATATTTTATTTCCTTTATTTGTTTTTGAAGCTTTCGAATTCTACAAAATAAACACGTCCGTTAGGTTAGGTACCTTCGTCGCAAACCCAGTATAAAAAAAACCGTTCGTACTAGTGAAAGAGATATTATTCAATAACGGTTTAAAAATAAATTACAATTATGTTTCGCGTTAAATTACACACGTGTACTTAATTCAGTAAAGAAAGCAAAAAAAACCAGTATAGCCAGGAATATGACCAGAAGATTTTTTTCTTTCGATTTTAAAATCGCTTTCCTAAAGAAAATTTATGATTTTTAATGAGAAAATAAAATGCGTATTCTTTAAAGTATAACTTTTTAATAATTGTTAACTATGACCGTTTTCTGTTTAACTGTTGGCACATAATAATAAATCAAAAAGTAACCTTTTTACACTATCGGCCAATTTTTTTTTAACAAAATTTTACTTAATTCCGATTGGTTTACCAACAATTAAATATCATATATACAACCTTATACGTATTTGAATAATTGAGAAATGTTAGCAGACCAATATAAGGCCGACTAAGGGTCAATCGAGCCAGTTTTTTTGGGAGGAAAAAAATCGCTTATGCCCTTTTGGCGTACAGACAGGCACAGGTGTAATTTGTAGGGGGGGGGCTCAGCACCTTTAAAATTTTTGTGTTTTATAGAAGGTATAGTATTTGCATAGTCATAACTCATAGTGTCTCCGTCTACTTTTTTTTTGTATTTACTTTATTATTAGGTATCATTTTTATTTATATTCAAAATTTAGTTAAAATCATGACTGAACGGTTATGCACCTTCGCTTATTTTAGCTAAATTGCTTCTTTGTCTTTTGGTTCTCATCGCTTAAAACACCTGACAAACTCAAAAGTCATACAAGCTATCAATAATTAATTGGGATATATACTCATGAGTCATGATGATCTTTTAGAATATAACTATATACGTTCTGCGAACTGTCTGTGTGAAGAGGCAACGACTAATGTTCCCATACAGCACTGAACATTTATTAGTTATTAATATTTAATACAATTATGATAAATATGTTTTATTTAAATGTTAAAATTTAATGAATATTATAGGTACCTTGTTTGATACTTAACAGTGTCGAAATACAACAAACGATCCTATACAAGGCAAAACAATAATTGTTAAGACAGAAAAATCAATGTTATTAAAATGTTTTAAAACTCTTATTAAAAAATAATTTTGAAATATTAATTTGTTATTTTGCTATTGTAATAAATTAGTTAATAAATTTAAAATCGAAATACCTGACAGAAGCAACGAGTTATGTATTCGGTCGTCGACGACGTTACACCCGGGATAAGCAGACCTGATCTGCTCTACCGGCAGATCCTCTTGTGCGGTTCACATGGTCTTTCACGTACACCCGTAAGCCGGCGTTCACTCGAACGGTGGAATTTAAAAAAAAAACAACAAAATAACACCCGAATTAAACACAAGCAACGTTTAGCAGGTTGACGCGTTTAACGTGCTTTGCAATCACCGTACGAACAACGGTAGGTAAGCACAGTTCGGTTATTTATAGGCCTCGGACGAGAAGCGCACAAAGCACGCAAACAGACGAACGCACGACCCGAAACTTTCCAACACTGAACGGTGCGGCGGCGGCGGCGCAATGTTTTGTTGCCGTCGGTCGCACTCCGAAGGGGAAAAAACACACAGACAACGCGGCCCGTACACCGTCGGCGCATGTACGACGAAAACCAGTTTGTGGACGCCGCCGGTGGTACCGGCCCAAGAGAGCAACCCGGACGGCGGCCAACAGCTGATATGGGAGAGAGGAGGGCCCACGCCCCGTTCTATGCGTGTTAGGTTTGTTGACATACATCGCCCTTACCTGTTCGGATAATAACACGCAGGTATAAAAGCGATGTATATATTATACGGTATAATCATATTATCGTATACAAACGTATAAGAAGAAGAAAATATAAAGAAGTAAAAATACCGTCTAACTCTATTGAGCCATACCGTGAAAATATTAGAATACAATAATTATTACCCATTTATTAGTTATTACTTCCTCGCGCTGCTTACACTTAACTATTGCGTATAAAGGTGAGCAAATCGGTAGGTATCAAATACCAAAGGACAATAAATAAATATAATGATAATGGACTCGGATAAAACATTCCATCTCCTATGTACCTACAATTGTATTTATAAACAAGAGGCGGACTGGACCACTGATTAGGTTAGGTTAGTTTAGGCTACTGTTCTATAGGAACAGAATAGTAGACCTTCTTATTATCGGTTTTTTTTTATTTAAACAAGCACTATAATTATTAATAGATTGCTACCAGTTTAATCATTTTATTTTCAGCGACAACTATATTGTATCGTTCAAAACTCCAATCTCAAGGAAGAAAAGTATCGATTTCCCTCGAGACCTAACAATTGTCAGATTATTGATTATTCCTCGTTCTGCAATGAGCGCCCTAAAATTATTTGTATTCCACACGTGTTATATAATATTTTCAGTACTTAAGCACCCTCTAAAAGTACTAAAATCTATTTAGTTCTTAATAAATTAGTGATTTATAAATGAGACTTAAAAGTCTTCATTAAGGTCTTTACTGCTGAGCATATTACTATGAGTCACTATTAGTCCAACTATAAGACCCCTATTATGGGAAGCTAAATATTTTGGTATGACTAAGCTGTGAAAGAGCATTTCCCCTCACATCCCTCTAAATAATCAAAAGGGAATATTGAATACTCTTCTTCGCCTGTACTATAATTATATGTACTTAATTTTTCCCACGAAAACTAACCAATCAATTCATTTAAAATTTAGATTATAGTTGACTGAGTTGTATTTATTTTTAACGTAAAAAAAGTTCAAAAATAATGTTCAACATTATGCCTCATAAATATTGTTTTATTGAATTGAACAATGAACAGTACTAATCAAATTTACTGAAATTAAAAACAGGTTAACACTACTTCGAGTGTAATTTTCGACTATGAAGTCTTGGTGCTGATTTATACTGTGCTGTGTTTTTTTTTAATAAGGTGAGGTCCTTTAAATGTTTTCTTATAGGTAGTTGCTAAGTAATTGATTGTTTTATCACATGATTTAGTTGGTTTTGAATCATAAAGTACAATCAGTAAATTTAAAAAAAACTACTCGAACGTCAGTGTCTAGAATTATTTTATGTTATATTTGTTTTCCTTAAGAGTCGACACGATAACAATATAATATTATACTGTAATATATATTTTGGTTATTTGATGATTCAACATGTTTTTTTATACCTTTAGGGTCGAAATGGAAACCTACAGTTGTCAAACGATATTCGTATATAATAATAATACACATAATATAAGGATTTTTGTTACATAAACCTGATACTTATGGTTTCATTCATGAGAATCATTCGCCATTGGTGTATAATTTTTAATCCGCAATGTTTTTATCGATAAGTGCATTACTCACGTACAACGTGAAACCATAAAAACATAATTTATCCCTTTTAACAATAAACTAGCTCCCGGGAAAAGGATTAGACTAAATGCAATTTAGTTGCCTAGGGGTTTTTAAACTTTTTTTTAAAGGGATTTTAATATTATATATATATATATAAATATATTTAATATATAAATATTTGTTAAGATGTAGCCTCTCCAAAACTTTCTCGTGCATTTATTATACGATTGATTACACGAGGTTGAAGCATCGGGCAACAAATGTTGTGTATGATATTAAATGATAAACATGTTTATTATTTTTTTGGTTTTATATAAAATAAACATTTTACTAACCGAACAAAACAAAATTCCACTTTCAAATATAAAAAGTTAAAATTTATATGGGTTTTGTAAGGTACTTGACCCGAACACTAGTCAATTTTTTACTTATAAAAACCGGCCAAACCTATAGAATAATGTTATTCATTATTATTTCACTCCGCAAGACCACTTTTCCGGAACTTGTTTTAAATTAAATTATACCAATATTCGAATCTTAATATCCATTCTGCAATCTACACACATTCATTAAAATACCAATGCATGTATAATTTATAAATACATTTATTGAGTGTTGAATATTAAATAACTAGTGCATTATTTAATATTAATATTACGATTATTCTTGTTTTATTATAATAAGTAATATAATTTTTTTATGTATGTTTGCAAAATATTTGTAAAGAGACCGCTTTTTAACATTCATTAATTAAGTTGTTTTTTTCAAACATAATAAACATTTTATTATTTATTAGATAGCAATATTTGATAGATTTATCAACTGGTTTTTAAACGCAAAATTGTAGTGAATTTTAAAAATATAATACTTCGTTACGGTATAATTATTATTCCAATGTTGATCGTTGTCCTCAAAAAGATGTAAGTGCAAGTGAAAGCTATCCATAAACTTTTCTATTATCATTACTATTATTACTATAGTATAGCTGTTAAAGTATGAACTCTCTCTCCTTTTCCGTCCTACAAAGTGGCGTTACTACCTATTTCGTTTTAGGTCTGTCTTTAATTGGACACATACGCCACAAATGTGAAAATATTAGTAGATTTTTTTAGACGGTTAGATTAGGTGTTTGAGCTAAGAAAAACTGTCTGGTCTGCAAGGATTTAAATTGAACACGCGACATCCGCGTGCAAAAGGTCAAAGTGGGTTTTATTCGTTTTCCGGTGTCGTTTGGCGCATGCAGTCCTTGACCGTGTAAAGAATGTTTACTCTCTCACATGGATATTATTATAATGATATGTAGTATCTGACCAGAATACCTACTCTTATTTTTTTTACATAAATACAGCACCCATTGTGCAAACAGGCTGTACCCGCCGAAAAATGCTAACTTTTTTTTCATTGTCAAGTGTAAGTGTGTTCCTATGACAAACCGATGGGAGGAAGGGGTGGTATTATCGTTAGTGCAATCGATGGATGATTTAAGGGGAAATATGACCGAGACGGGTGAACGTCCAGGCGCGGCGCTGCAGTATAACAGTGGAGACTTGGACACGATACCAGCAGCAACACACAACCGGTTGTTTACCGGCAGTCTTGGCCGCTGCTAAATAAGCATACTATAGCCATTAATACTATACAGACTAGCACATCCTTTGGATAACAACAAAAACCAGTTCCGATTTCTATATTGACGGCGAAGATGAAGAAGGCGCTTTTGACGAGACACGGGTTCGCAAAATTTGATAAAACCGAAAATATCTAACGCGATTGTTTGTTTACCTGTTAATTTTTTGACAACTGTTGAGTCAGTTTCAAAACAATTTATACAATTAATGCCTTGTACAAGCAAGCTGCAAGGTAGTAGGTATATATAGTAATTTATGTATATATTTTATTCTGAGTAATCTCAATTCTTAACACAAGTACATCCAGCTAGTGTCTTGTCTCATAAAATCTTTGAAAAAAATATCATTATCATCTATAAGAACCCAATAATCGACAGAAAATGTAACAACCAAATAGTTTATAGTTAAGGCACTTGATTAAAAATAGTATTAAAACGAAATAACTGAAAATTTAAGCATACCCCTTGCCTTAATTTCAAAGACTTATGTAGCCAGTAGCATTAGATAAACATAGAAATAGGTTAATCTAATATTATTAACAAAATGTATGGACTGACCACCCGTCCCCGATAGCGAATCCGCTTTGAAACCATCATCCCATTATGGCAACGTTGGACCTTAAAAGCCTGTTAGCTGATGATGATGATTAACGAAATTATGTAGCTTCCCTATTTGTAAGGTTAGGTTAATCAAATAACATACAGTTAGTACCGATTTACTATTATTACTTGACAGCTCTATAAAATAAATTAATTTTACAAAAAAAAATAATTTCACTGTTTTTAAACATTTTTCTTTTTAAATGGTGTAAAGCATTTTTTTTATTGGAGAAATTTGTATGTTACTTATATCATTCGAGTTGAACGTTACCCTAACAAAATTGTGTCTAAATAATTTTAGCATCATTATCATCGAATAATATTTTATTGTCACCCATTTTTTTTTTATACATTGATAAACATTATGCATTCCCGTGAAACGCATTCTACTCTTGCAATATCAAATCAAGTTCATGAGTTGTTTTTCGATATATTATTAATTGTTTGCAATACTCGAGTGTTGGGTGATCGTGACGAACCGTTAGTGCCCTCGAGGCAAATATATTATTATACAGCAGCTGAGTTCATGCACGTATTCCAGTATAGGCTCCGGCTGTTAGATAGAAACGATAAAATATATAATTTATATTGTACAGCAAGTTGTCTGATACAGCAGTGAAATGAAATGGCACACAACCTCTTTGACCATGGACCAGTTTTGGGTTGTAGTTTTTAGTTTTCTTTCTTTATTTTTACTCTCTTTCTCTCTCTATGTTTTTTCTCTCCTGATCGACCCAGAGAACCTTCGCCGAGTCGATAAGCTGTTACACACTCACAATGTTAAAAGCATTTTTAAATTGTTTACTTCTTTCACTTGCAAACCTTTTATTACCCATTTATATTTATTTGTTTTGTCTTTCTTTCATTGTTATTGTTATGTTTTGGCGGGCACAAGAAAGTATTCAAACTGAACAAATGAGCGTTTTTTAAATCTCCAAATAGCTGGATACACCGTACTAAATACTTGGAATGTCTATTGGCATAAAACAGAAAACTGAGTGAGCTTAATGCTTAAATCATTTTGTCAACTGCAGTCATGTCGCATAATGCGCTTTCTGAACTGTATACTCTGTTATTTCTTTCTATAATTCATTATCAACGAATATAGATTTATTGACATAAACGGTAAAACCACTGATTAAATGTTTAAAATTGTAATCTGTGGTTAAGCTGTTGGCACCCAATAAGGGTGCTGGGCGCCAGCAAACTCGTTTTAAACAGGTTATCAAGAACATTATGTACAAATCATAGAAATAATCTACGAATAATATTTCACACTACCAAGACCGAGTACTATTTAAATAATACACATATATATAAACACATAAAACGATGTAGAGAAAATATCTTCTCTATATCGTGATTCGTGTGTATTGTAATTTGTGTCATATCTGATATCATTATTACTCGCGATCTTCCATAAATGTTTGTAACTTCCAAACTATAAGTGCTAGTGACTAAAAAAATTTGCCGATTCGTTATCAGCATTATTTACATTTTACACTATCGATTGGAAAAAAGAAAAAAAAAGGTGCCCGGTGAATTTATACCCGGATTTATAGTTTATAAAAAAAAAAATCGAAATATGAAGTATTAGACGTTATTTGTCAACAGCTGATAGTGATAACTGATAACATTTGATAAGCTGAGAATTCCCTCCAATTTCAAGATAATACAATGGCGTTCAAATATTTTTGTTGCGTTTTGCGTAAGAAAAAACTATAAACCTGGTTAACGGTGATTGTTAACCGTTACCGGTGTTTTTCAACAATTGGCTGGTTTCAGCAGACAGCTGCAGACAGTAATCAGTATTCAGATTTCAGTTTTAACTCAATTTCAATATACCTACATAATATAGTCATCAATCGTTAGATAACCGTTCCAGGGACGGAGAGAAAACGCCATAGATCTGTTAAGCGTCTTCAACATATAGTGAAGATCATTTTTTTAAAGTTAATTGTTTTCGTTATTATTTTATGTAAGGTGAATTGTTTTTTTCCTAACCGTTTTAACTATGGTCAATGTTGTTTAAGAGTAAATTTATGTTTTTTGAAAAAATAATTTATTAGGTAAGTATCATTCCTCACATCGTACCTAATGCGCAAAATGTATATATATATTGATACTTAGGTACTACCAATAAAGAGCCGTTTCTTTCCTCTATTTATTTTTGAGTATAATACTTTATACTTTGTGTTGATAAATAATAACGCTGTTGTGTTAATGTACAATCATACACAAAAATATGTATACCAAAATATTATCGTTATTCGATGAAGTCAGTTGTAATAATTATACCGACTTTCTAATGAGGAACTGTCCAGTGAAAAGGAGCCCTTTTTACTCACAACGAACTAATGTAATCTGTCCTGTAAAGGAACTTCGTTAAGTTGTCTGCTACTTGGAAGAGGTAGCGATGGGCCCTGGAAAACATATTTGGAATCGTCAAACTCAATTTTGCATAAGGGAAGATTATTAATTATTGTGTTTAATAAGGTATATACACATGAATAATTTTCGGATATATCCGCATCAATGGTTGTTAACCAACGTTTCGGACCCTTTGCAGGGTCCATCTTCAGGGTCATGTCACGACTATTCCGCTGCCGTGATTGTACTCAAACGCAGTACAATCACGGCAGCGGAACAGTCGTGACATGGACCCTGCAAAGGGTCCGAAACGTTGGTTAACAACCATTGACGCGGATATATCCGAAAATTATTCATGTGATATTTCAATCCGCGAAAGCTTCAACACATTCATAAGGTATATACAATCGGGAAGCCATGGGCTAATATTGTAAAATTAATTCTTTCATCTTTGCATCAAAGTTTAAAACTATTTTATACGTCTTAGCTCAAATAAAGACATCAGTTAGGGCATATTTTAAATATTCATACTTGTATACTTGTACCAACTGCCAAATAGGTATTCATCTATAGCTGTAGAAGAAACAGACTAGTTAAATTAATCAGAGAAATATTTTCATTTCAGCTAGTATTTATATTTATTTGATTGAAATTGAACTATATGAGTAACATGGAGTCAAATAGGAGTTTGATAAAGAGTAGTACAAAGGATTATGATACTGGTAATATTTTATTTTATAATTTAAAGAAAATGATAAATTAATATAATTGTTTAAAAACAAAAAAAAAATTGTCTGTGTACCTATATAATTCATCAGATGCTTTGTAAAATTATAGTAATTTAGAATCAAATAAGCTCTTCTGTTTATAATTTCACAAGTTTGAAATTTGGATGTAATAGTGTTACTTTATTAAATTTGCGTTGCTTAAATATAGTATATTTAAAAATGACCAGGTTTTTAAACTGGCAATCAAGTTTATAAACTCTGTGGAACTTGTTCTATACATTTTGGTTGATAGTAAATTATTTTTAAGTAAATGTATTATTGACGGGCTTGTAGGAAGTACCTAATAACATTTTTTTTTGGTGATTTTTATTAATTTTTTTTTTTAAATTTTTTTTAGTTTATTTTTAAAAATTATTTTATTCTATGATTAAAGTGTAATACATATTATTTAAAAAAAATTAAAAACTGTCAGTTATGTCTAAAATTAAAAAAAAAATCGTTTTTTTTTTCAGTTAAAGTGAAGATTGAAAATGAGGATTCTGGTTTAGACTGTATTACAACTGATACAAATATGACTGGTAAGATAATGATTAAACATTTTTATTTTATTTTAAGAGAGCGCTACCCAGGCCATTTCTAAGAAGTAAAGTATAGGCAATTTTTCTAAAAACTTTCAATTGGAGTTTGAACTATAATGTATACTTATCAATACAGTAATGAGGATACTTTGTTGATTGCCTTTTTTTTTGTCAGACTATCACAGTCATTTCTATAGGATAAATTACAAATTTTTCCTATCAAAACTGCTTGGCGCGGGACAAGTATGGGAGGCCAGTATTAACAGTAAATTTATCAAATTATCACAATGTATAGAAAAGAACTTTATCCATGGAGTAGCGTTTTAATTTTTTCAATATCTATACTTAATATTATTTTATAAATTAATTAAAAAAGGAAAAAATAATGAATATTTACTAATGAATTATTTTGATTGTGCTTAAGTTGTCAAAAAAATAAAAAAGGTACCCTGTAGATAAAGTTCTTCTCTATCCATTGAAAAAATTGTATACGGCTACTTTAAATACCGTCCTCACATTCTTGTCCCCCCGATAAGTGGATAAATTATGGATGGGTAGCGTCCTCTTAACTAATTTTTAAATTTAAATTTAAAACTAAAAAAAAAATTAATCTTCATAATACAATTAAAACAAGGACACTTTTCGGCATTGTTCTAATGTATGACTAAACTAATGTTGTTAACCTGCCGGTATCAATAACATGATAGTAAATAACTTAGCTTTTTTTATTGAAATTTCAGTTTTAATCAAATCATTATGATTAGCATCGTTCAAGGGTGACCATCACATTATTTAATTTTTTTTGTCATTATACAAAATAACGTGTGCTGTAGGTCATTTGTGTAAAAAAAAAAAAATTGTATAAATTATTGTCATTACATATTTTGTATAAGTGATAATTAATACCTTGATTTTGTTATGAATTACAATATTGTAATACTAATTATTTTTCTAATTTTTTATTTAATTACTGTAAATTGTACTTTTTTTCTTTTTATATATTATTATTTGGGTGACTGGTTTAATAATCGTTAGCAAGCAGAGTATTACAATATTTTCCTAGCATTAATTAACCATAGTGCGTATTTAAATAATTAGAATCATACAAAATACCTAACAAGTAACAATACTAATAAATTATTGTTCTTATTAATTTTTTTTTTGTGTATGTAAAACAGAACCAAATATGGAGAATTGCATAAATGAAAATCAATCCGTGAATTACAATGGTAAAACAATTATGCATTGCAGTATTTTAATGATAATTTAATAAATTGTTTTTTACTGTGTTAAAAAAAGATGTTACCCACTTAATAATATATTTTATTATTTGAGATGTATTTTATAAAAAAAATAACTGTACATTGTTATTCCTTATAGGATAAAAATAAGAATGAAACTTATTTTTGGTATGACTACTTTTTTTAAATGTGTTTAAACTTTCATAAATTAAAATATTAACTCGATAATTTAGTGATAATTTACGCCTAATAATTATCAATTATTAATGATTCATTACTTTTGTTTTTGGGCTTGTATACTTTTTTCTAGTAATCAACAACTTCATAAAGTTAAATTTAATTGTATAAGGCCCTATTTAACGTTAACCACTTGTTGAACCACAGTTAACGGCTAATAATATCGGGCCTGAGTTTTCTAAAAAATGTATTAACATTAACATAATTAAAAATTGTTATTTAGTAGAGAATGAAAACGATGATTCGGGTTTGGATAACATTACAAGTAGTAACATTACAACTAATTTAATTGGTAAGATTAATTGTTCTATCTTAACATTATTTGTAATATTTAATAATTTTATTAATTTTAACAGACAATAGTTTCTTGCCTAAAGAAATGCTAATAGAGGAACAACGCCTGCGAGAAGAACACAGACAAGAAGATGATGCTATGGTAAAATAATTTGTTATTGCTGTTACGACAGATTTTCAAAAATTTGGTGTCGCTGGTTTATTACTAATATTGCAACATAGTTATTATTTTATTTTATGTTAATTTAGGTTGACGACCTTGATGAACAAGAAAAGCAAAAAAGATTTCAAAATTTATTAACTCTTTTGGAAAACAGTACCAAGCTAACAGACATTTTTGAGACTAGATTAAAAAAATGTAAACTACAAATTATAAAGTATGATATCTTTGTTAATATTTTAATCTCTAGCGTTAAATATCTATATTTTTTTATTTATCAATATGTTGGTGGTTTTTAGAAAAGAAATCCAGGCAAAAAAGAAAGCTGATAAAATGAAAGAAAACTTACCATCGAACAATAAATTGAATGAAGATAAAAAAACGATAACAGATGTAAGTTTATTATGTTGATTTTGTGTATTATTTAAATAATGAATAATTTTTATGGTGAAATGTTTATTTTAATATTTTAGATTTAATGCAAAACTGAGATAGTATTGTTTTGTTACAATGGTGTGTTATTATATTTTTGTGTCTGAATTCGCAACACCTTTTTGACCACTGGACTGATATCTTCATGTAGGAAAACTATTCATCAGAAATCAGACCCATTATGTTATTGTATAAGGCCAAAATTGTAATAAATCATTTTTGGAATATTTTTTTAAAATTTAAATGAAAAGATGTTAACCCTTTTTCATTTTAAGATTTATAAAGTACCTCTTGAATATGATTTATGACTTATACAATTGTTTCTTTAAGAAATCGGTCCTGTGGGTTAAAAGATATTGTGTGACACAACAGAAAAATTAAAATTGGGTTTTTTAGAGTTTCTAATAGAAAAATAAGTTTGACCTGCCTACCTGGTTTTACCCTACTCTCGCTTATTTTCTCTCTCATTATTTTTTGAATATAATAGTGGTATTGCAGATTTTTTAGCATAATTGTAAAATGTTTTTTATTCATTTGAATGTGATTATCAGTTATATTAATTCATGAAGACTGGTGACTTCCACAAATTCAATATGCGCCGACCCCTATATTATTTGCTAAATTGTGCTGGCTTTTTATTTATTTAAACATTTTTTTTTTTTTTAGAATTTTGTGGAAGAAGAATATTATTTGAGCTTGTTCAAACAACCAAAATTATTTCACGGAACTCTAAAATCTCATCAAGTAGAAGGACTCCTTTGGATTAGGGTAATAATCTGTAATTTAAATTATTTTGAGTAAAGAATTAACATAATATATAATTTTTTTTAGACGTTATTTGAAAACGGCTTAAATGGTATTCTAGCTGATGATATGGGTCTTGGTAAAACTATACAAACTATAGCGTTCTACTGCTTTCTCATCGAAATGGGTATAAAAGGACCTTTTCTAGTCATTGCACCTCTTTCAACTATACCTAATTGGTTATCGGAATTTGTTAAATTTTCTCCTGAAGTAAATTATTTAATTTATGTTTCAGTAAAACATTTTTTTTTAATGTTTATTTTTAAAACTAAATAACTGTATGTTGATTCTAGTTGCCTACAGTATTGTACCACGGTACAGAAGACAAACGTAAGGATGCTCGGCCTCTGATTAAAAAAACTCAAAAAGTCAACAACATGAACTGCTTTCCTGTAATCATAACGACCTATGACGTGATGAGAACAGACGTTAATTTTTTGGCAACTATAGACTGGAAGTATATTACAGTTGATGAAGGACATAAACTCAAAAATTTCAACGCACAAGTGTCAAAGTAAGCTGAATAAGAATTGAAACAAATAAAAAAATAAATTGTTCTCAATAATATGTTTTAATTTAATTCTTGAAGGGCTATGCGTAAGTTTAGTTGTGCAAATAAGCTTATTCTCACCGGAACACCTATTCAAAATGATATGTCTGAACTTTGGTCTTTGTTGAATTTATTGATGCCCAAATTATTTAATAAACTAGAAGACTTCAACTCATGGTTTGTGATTGAAGACTTTTTCAGTGATAACCACAAAATAGCCAATATGGCGAAAAAAAATGAAATTTTAGATATTATTCAAAAGGTTTGTACATTTTGTTTGAAATTTATGTAAAAAGGAAACGAGATTTTTTTATTTTTATTATAACACTGAACAAGTTTTGTGATAAAGAAAAAAATTTCACTTGAACTATTTAGGTTTTGATCATTTTAATTAGTATTTGGTTTTAGTATTGTCAATGAGAGAACATTTTTAATTGATTTTTATTTTTCAATTGTATTGTATAGGTTATAAAGCCTTTTATTTTGAGACGTGAAAAAAAAGAAACTGATTTAAACCTTCCCCCGAAAAAAGAAATTGTTGTTTATGCTCCAATCACCGAGAAACAACAAGAACTGTACATGGCTACGTTACAAAAACACATGGAAGTATTACTAAATAAAGAAAAGGTTATTTTTTATTTGTAAAAATTATTTTAAGTCTTATCAGCTTCTTCATAATATGTACTCTATTAATTAATATTACTAAAATAATAATAATTTTAAATTTAGGAGGACAGTAACATTATAGAGGGGCCGAGACCTAAACGAAAATGTGTTGAATCTATAATAGAATATACTGATATGCTTGCCATAAAAACTGACCCTAAAGAAGAAGAGTAAGAAAAAATAAATATTACCTAAAAAGTTTTAAAAAATGTAATTGTTTTTATTTTTTATTATTTTAAACTGTTATCAGAGTGCCTATTAGAGAAGTGGCGCTCAGCATTGTAATGCAAAACCCTGTCATGCAACTAAAAAAAATAGCAAACCATCCTTACCTTGTTCACATGCCACTAATTAAAGGCACGGAACAAATTTTGGTTGATGAAAATATTGTAAAAGTTAGCGGAAAATTTCAAGTATTGGACGCCATGCTGACTAAGTTAAAACTGCTCGGACATAAGGTGGATAATTTTTTTAATTGAATACTCAATGTAAAATTTTATACTGCCTATATAATTATCGTTTTCTTTTAGGTGTTACTATTTTCAACGATGACACAATTGTTAGATGTTATCGAAGAGTTTATGATTTACCGTTCGCATAAATATACTCGTTTAGATGGTACAATGCAGATTGAGGGTCGTGTCGAAGCTATGAGAATATTCAATACTGATCCGGAATATTTTATAATGTTGATATCGACGCGTGCTGGTGGACTTGGTTTGAATCTTACGTCAGCAGATACTGTTATAATATTTGATAGCGATTGGGTAAAATTATTATTTTTTTAAATGGCTCTTATATATGTTATACAGTTTATGATAATTCATTTAATTTTTTTCAGAATCCTCAAGTAGATTTACAAGCTCAAGATAGATGTCACAGGATGGGACAAGAAAAACCTGTTGTCGTTTACCGTTTATGTTGCAAAAACACTATTGACGAAAAGATATTAACGCGTGCCACAGCAAAAAGGAAACTCGAAAAAATTGTCATCGGAAGCGGTAAATATTAAAGCACATATTTATTATTAAAATTATTAGAAAAATTAATAATAATGAAAAAAAAACCTGCCTATGATCTTTATAGTTGTCAAAACGTACAGTAATTTGCATACATATTTTAAAATAACTATAATATAATATCATTGAATTTACAATATACAGATAAACGGTGCTATATAAAACATTGATATAGATTTGTGCTCGCAGCCAGAAGTATCTTCGTCAGTTTACAGACAAGTAGATCGTAGACCGTCTCTCTTGACCATGGAATCCCGCAAAGAAATGTTACCATTATTGGCTTATCTGTATATTTTAAAATCGATGATAATATTTATCAAGTTGTAGTATGTTTTAAGGACATAATATATATATATTTTTTTAATGTTTAAGCAACTATAAATTGGGTTATTAGATTTCACGTCAATAAAAATTACTGTTAGAATTGTGTGTATAACAGTAAATTTTGTTTATAGGTACATTTAATAATAGGAGTTCAAAACTATCACTAACTTCTATCGAGGAATTATTAACTTTGTTAGAATCGTCTGATTACAACAAGAAAATTCAGTCTAATGGATTTAGTAAGTTCTTATAAAATATTTGACTTTTTAGTTATCTAAAAAAAACCTTTTTAACTAACTAAATGTTTATTTGTTTTTCAAAAGTTTTTACTGATGAAGAACTAGATGCACTTCTAGATCGTTCCGATTTGATGATAGAAGCGACCTCCAAGACGACTACATCAAAACCAGTTGGCCATTTCAAAGTAGTGAGTTCATCGTAAAATTGTATTTATAATTCCTATGTTTATTTTTATATTTTTTTAATTTCAAGTATTTTTCTTATATGTTTCACCATCACAAAAACTACCTATAATTTGTTTTATATTTTTTTAATTTTATAATGTATACTTGTTTTTGTTTAATGTATAAAAATAGATTGATAATGCATTTTTGTTTTTATAAGGAAATAAATTTCTAATGTTGCATGACAAATACTAATAATAAAATTTAAAAAGAAATTGTGTAATGAATACGGGTTTTGATACAATATATCTATAGGGATATTAGAAGACTTGTCAGGTCTTTTGGTTGATCAATTTTGACTATTTTATCTTGTGTGATATTTCTTTGGAAAAAAATAACACAATTCCATATGTTTTCATACTTTTTAACTAAATCAACTAAACTGTTGATTTGACTTTGCTATGTTAGCTGTTATGTGTGTGGTTGGTATTTCCTTTATTTGAAAACTAAAACTTTAGAAAAGATTGTGTGTAAAAAAGCACGTATTTGTCATTATGTTATAAATTGTTACGTTAGTTAATGAAAAAAATAAATTGATAATAAAATTGACGTCACTGATATTTCGTTAATTTTACCTTTTTAGTATGATTATATTAGAAAATAATAGAATAGGGCTACAGTTCATATTACATAACAGGTGTTAGTTATCAATAATGTCTTATCAGTAGTAGTTTTGTAAAGTCTACCTCCACTAAAAGAACCATTAATATATAATATACTCTATATAATATAGAATGAAGATTACTTTTCCGCTGTAAAGCATTAGGTAGTAGGTAAATATTAGTACAGTTTATTTTACTCAAGCGACACATTCACGGGTTGTTGAACTATTTCTTGAGTACTAATTTCTTCTTCGATTGCTGCATTTGGCTGTCTATTGAGTATTAAAATTATTGTATTTCGTATAAAAGAAGTACTCCTGAACATGTTGCTGGGAAAATTGGCCTTTGTCACAGGTAATATAGAATTTCTTAACGCATTAACGTATAACTAAATGGACTTGCCGAAAATATCATTAGGAGCTGGAGGAGGAATCGGTAGGGCTGTATGTCGTTCGATGGCCCTGGAAGGTGCCAAAGTTGTAGCTGTCGACATCAATTTGAACAATGTACAATCGACAGTTTCCGTGCTCACAGGTAATATGTTTAAACCTACTCGATATTTAAAATATAAAGCGTGAACATGACTAAACGGTTTATTCAGACAATGACCACCAAAGTTACCAGCTAGATGTATGCGATATGGAATCTGTAAACAGTGTCGTACAAAAAGTTTGCTCACATTATTCTTCTCCACCAACTATTGTAGTCAATGCTGCAGGTATAACACGTGATAATTTCTTATTGAAAATGTCTGTTCAAGATTTTGAAAGAGTATTTGACGTAAACGTGAAGGTATGAATGAATTTTCGCAGGTACATTTCTACACTGTATGCAAATTAAAATTTAAATGTATTTGCTTTGTACGAAAGGGAACTTTTCTAGTAACTCAAACGATATGTAAGAAATTGGTAGAAAGTGGTCTGTCCGGTTCTATAGTGAATGTCGGAAGCATAGTTTCTCAACGTGGTAACATGGGGCAGTGTAATTATTCAGCGAGCAAAGCAGCTGTTGACGTTTTCAGCAAAACTGTAGCTTTAGAAATGGCCAAGTATGACTTTGATGATTATTAATTACAATTATGTGATAAAAAAGTATTATTCCTATAATATATAATATTACTTTTGTAGATACAATATAAGATGCAACACTGTTCTACCCGGTTTCACTATAACACCAATGACTGATTTAATACCAGACAAAGTGAAAGACTATTTTAAATCTGCCATACCAATGGGCAGATTTTCTGATTCAAATGGTAATTGATAATCAAACTATACGTCCATTGTCCTATAACAATGTCCAAAAACGGTTCAGCGAATGTTTTCAGACAATGTTCGCTTAAGATACAGCTATAGTAAATGTATAGGCTCTGACCTGCATATGCAAAGCATACTGTAATATTAGCTGAAGTCATCAGTTTTTCAATAAACCAACATCTACAATTTCTATCTTTAAAAATTAAATAGAAGCTAATAAACTGAAAATACTATATGTAACTAAATAGCTACATAACAATAATGTTGATTTTTAAAAATCTCCCATGTGAGTTGATGGTAAATTTTGTTACCTTTATATTTTTTATAATTGAAAAACTGTTTCAATATTGACTGTTATCTAGCATAATAAACTCCATATGTCGCTAAAATATACTTTGTGTATTTATATATATATTACAATTTTTACAAAAATTGAAGCTAACTATGATGTTGTTATTTATTTTTTCAGAAATAGCAGATGTAATTACATTTTTAGCATCTGATAAAAGTTCATACATGACTGGTACGTCAATACCTGTTAGTGGTGGGTTTTAGTTATACATTTTCTTGTCGATAATAAATATGAATTTAAATATGACAAAAAAAAAATTGAATTAAAAATTGTATAGAAAAGAGGTTTTTTAGGGAATTTTTATAGTTAAAAAATAATATATTTTGTTATTATAATATTATGAACTGTAGTTTTATTGTTATCTTATTAAATATAATATATTATTGAGAGACTTGATCAAATATAATTCATTTTTGTTTAAACTCATATTATTATAATGCCAGTAACAGCAATGTAAATCAATTTTATTTATATTTATTGTAAAGGTTTTTACATGAAAAAAGAAACTTAACTTAAATATTTAATGAAATTATAACATTGTTTAAAAATGTAAATCATAATAATAAAAAATTGTACTTTACAACAATGTGTTTTCAATATTATGTCAATATTATGTTCAATATTATGTTAACAATGTGTAAAATGACATAAAATAAAAATACATTATTGATAAAGTATGTTTTTTTATAATATTTAAATTTAAAAAAAAAATATGTAAAGGTATTAGGTTAACACATCTTTTATTTTGCTGCGTGAGAAGCTACGTAAAATATGAACTCACAATATGGGCGAGTTATACTTATGTCAAAAAAGGCGACAATGATCAAAATTTGTACGAATAGCTATAGGCATTATTTTGAATTTTTTAACGAATTTTTCTCTTTATACTTATATTTTGTATGAATTCTTCTACTAATTAGTCATAAGTACACGGGACCGAATCGTGGATAGCTCTGCTCCAAACACCCTCTATTATACTTAACATGAAATGTATTAATTTTTATTATTTTTATCATGCACATTTAACATATTTTTTAAAATTTACAAAATACTTCTGCTTTTGTAGGACCGGAATAATCCATTTGGGGCAAAACATAATTTTCTAACATCTCATTAGCATTATCGTTCCACAATATACATACAATATCTATTTCCTCTTTATGAAAACAGTAAAACATAGTTGCTAACTACTGTAATCTAAAGTGCCCGGGTTCAAGACTATACTTAAATGCTAAAGAAAGCACTAATGTTAGTCGCTATTTGTTTATAGTTATATTATGGACTAACGATGTTGCTAAACTTAAATGAAATATGAATGATTTTTTTAATCATACAATTGCAAAAAACTAATCAAAATGTTTACAATTAAAAAAAAATGTATTCTTAAGAGGGCGTCGCACCAGTGATTTTCAGTGGTAAAAACATGTTTACGCTAACTGAAAATAACTAAAAATTTTGGTTTTAAAGTAAAAGCACCTATTATAAAATTAAACGAAAACAATATTCCGGAGGCAAGACGGTGCGTTTAAAAATAGTCGTTATTTCTAAACTATGTATTGAGCGTTATACTTGGAATAATGAAAAAAACGCACCATCTTTCCCTCCGGAATATTGTTCTCTTTTAATTTTATAATGGGTGCTTTTACTCTAAAACCAAATTTAAGCGAGTTATTTTCAGTCTGCTTAAACATGTAGAGATGAAAAAACATTTTTAAATAGCTTTCAAATATGCTGTGATAGTCCAAAAAGTAAATTAACTATTAAGATAGAGTCCTAGTTATTGAACTAATAATTACACATCACAGTTTAACCTTTAAATAAAGATTTTATAAAAAGTTGCCTATACTTTACTCCTTAAAAATGGGCGGTGCGATGCCCTCTTAATATATTTGCTTGCGGCTGTTTTTAAGGGGTTTTGTATAGGCAATATTTAAGAAAAAAGTGTTTTTAATAAATTTCGACCATGTAAGTTAATTTACCGGTTATTTGTATGAGCTTAAAGGTATTATTTTTAATTTAAATACATTTTTCTATGAATTAAAGCCATTTTGGTTTATTTTAGATTAAAAAGCTAGACAACATTTCGACGATATAGGATTGTCCAATTTCAATTCTGTAAAGAGATTCGAGTTCTTTGTTTACTTTACTATGTTACGTAGCGTAGGAAGCAGATTTGCATTTAAAAGTTTCAGTTTCTTATAAATTAAATAAATTAGATTTGCAATTTTTTCAATATTAAAACTCAGTTTATTTTAAATAAAAAAATCTGTTTCCTACATAAACTATATAGTAAATTTACCAAAGAACTCGTATGTCAGAATTGATATCGGACCATCTAAAGTAGTCGACATTTTGTATGGCTTTTGGTCGTAACGTCAAAAAACAGACCGCATACAATCCCCTTAAAAATTAAACATTAAACTTCAAAACAACTCTAGATACTTCACGATAAAAAAATTGTTTTTATCAAATTACAGTCCACTGTAACTAACAAAACTGATAACTCCCTAAAAAAAATAATTGTATAATAATTAAAATACAGGAAAAAAAATAATGTAAATAAACAGTGACCATATTAATGTCATCATCATTTCCAGCTTACAGTCAATAATTACAATATCTACTGATTTTTTTTTTACAATTCTTCTATACAATCTTCTTTTAGTTCTTGGTAGGAAATGTTCTGCACCAAATTTCGGAAGCCTCGATTTTTCCTCTATCTTATGCATTGTCGAGGACTATGATTTATATAAATCATTATTATTTTGTTTCCTAGGCTACAATATTTAGTTATACTAAAATTTTAAGTTATTAGTTACCACAAACTATTTATTGTTGAGTTTATTGAAAAGATATTATTTAATAATTTCAAAATCAATTATTAATTAATAAATCAAATATATTAAAGGGAAGTTGTTTGTTATTAAGTTTTTTTTTTATAACATATTTATAACAACAATTAAATTTCGAGTAAAATTAATTGGTTGTCTTCAAAAGTGAAGATATTATATTTAATTATCAAAAATTTAATTTTTAAATATGTAAGTTGTTATCATTTTACCCGAAAGCCCACTAACTTGAGCCAATGGCTATAATCCTTTATTTAAGTGGCAAGCATTAAACAATGAATATATACACGTGCAGTTACAAGTACACGTGTAATACGACTGGCATGTGTAATTAGAACCCCTAAATTAAAATGTGGCAGTTGTCTGCAAATTTAAATAACTACAATTTACAAAGGAAAAGCACTTTTTCTAATTATTTATTACTTTAGAATGTATATTCCTATTATTTTATATTATATACTTATTTTGAATTCATATGTTAAAATATAAAGTTATGGTTGTTATTTTTAAATGTTTAAGGCGGTAATTCAATTTTGACTTTATTGCGTTTGTATACACAATGTACTCACTAAAAAAATCCACTATGAAATGTTAAAAAAATGACATTCTAAAGTGTTATATTAAAATTAATATGGTAATCATGTCATGTTCAACAAATAATACTGTCTTCTTTATACTTGTCTGTGTTTGTACAGCTAACTGTAGTGTTAATTAATTTGACAAAAATAAATGTTAAATAAATTATTTTTTTGATTCAAGTTACTATAAAAATGACTGCTATCAAGCATAAGAACCATTTATGTGATCGTCTTTATTTATTTAAAAGTCTTATATCAGAATAATAATTAAAACCATAACAAGTACGACAAGTTATGAATATAAAAATGTACATCAAGTACATTATTTTCTTCTGTTTAACATATTATATTCCAATGGTAAATTCTCTTACTCCCCAGGTAATTATAATGCTTTCAAAAACTTGTGCATATTTACAAATCATTAGTATTATTATTATTAAAGTTAAGTCATTTTTTTAAATATTAGTAAATAATATACCACACCTCTCCGTTTTATTTCATTAACATATTATTTTTGAAACGTCAAAAACATCAAAATTTAGTAACACATTTTATGTGGCTGGCTGAATGTGACGTGTGTAAAATTTAATATTTCGCAACTTACCTTGACAATACTTACGGTCGAACTTACTTTGACCGTGATAAGAGATTTATTTCGTGTGGTTATGTTACCGTCGCAATCGATGGTCTTTTAATATTAAAAATGTATTTCAAAACTAAAATATTTTGTTAGTATTTTCATTTGAGGAATTTATGTGTCAATGATTTGGCGGCGGCTTTTTTTTAATCCTAAAAATTAAAATATTAGACTGAAAAAATCAACATTTCGTTAGGATATAATACAAAGATTGAATTCTCGTGATGCTCGTAAAACATTTTTGCAAAATTGTTGAAGTACAATTTGTTATTTGCCTGACGTTAATTTTGTTTTGTTTTGAATGTTCGTTTTTAAATTAAAATAAAATAGTAAATATGTGCCTATTAAATTCGTAAAAAAATTGTTTTAAATCACATCATATTATTGTGTTACTATTTTAAGGAAATAGAGAATCTGTGGGACAAGATAAGACCCGCTCAAAGGGACTATATTGTCTTAAATGACTTGTTTAAATATTATAATCCCGATATGATGGACCTCGATAATGTAATAAGAGAATACGGATTGCCAGCTGAAAATGATGATGGTAATCGTAATGAAATTTGTTCTGTAATTTAGAGTTTATAACTTTAAATGTATTTAATATGTTAACTATTAAAGAACAAAAAAATTTAAAGGGGGAAAATGTAAATTATATAATATATTAAATAATAGTATGTTTTACGGTAAATACAATATCATACTTATAAACTCTAAAAGTTTTGCTATAATAAAATTAAATATTTTATGTAACATTATACTTTTTTATGATTTTGTTTTTTTTTAATTTGTTTTTGTTTTTTGTGGTTTTCAGGTGATTTAGAATACAGAATGCATTTTGAATATTTTAAGGAAGCTGCGACTAAAGGACTCATTCCAAAATGGTCTAGACGGGTAATGTTATAATTATTATCTTATTCCTGGTGTTATAATTGTATGTATACAAGAATTATTAGAGTAGCATTGGACTAAACGGGTGGAATATTCTTTAATTAAAATTTTAAATGATCTATTAATTAAAAACGAACGACACAGTTATATATGACTGTATATAAATACTAAATTTTAGGTTGAGATGTTGTTAGGAATTCTAATATGATTACCGATATGTCATTTAGTTTTCAAGTTAGTAACATACTTAACCTTGCATTACTCTAAGAGCACGTGGGGCACGAGCCCAGGGCCCTTTGTCTGAAGGGTTCCCAAATAATACAATCTATTGAGAAAACTCCGATTTTAAATCTGATTTAAAAATTATGCAAGAGTTTTAGCGTATTGGCAACACTGATGTCTAATACTGTATTTTTGTACCCTTGACTTGTTGCCACGTGTGATGTTACGCGTGCTCTAGATGAGCTGGACGGGTTATACTACTAATTACCATTGTTAGTGAAACATTTAATTAACTGCTTAAAATTCACATAATATTTTAAGAAAATTTAGAATTAATCATAACGTTTATTTTTATTATTATTATAATTAAATAAAATATAGCTTAATTAAATTAAAAGCATTTGATCATTACGTTATTTAATTAATAATTGTTACTGATTCAATTTATTTTTTATAAGTTTTATATACAATGTATGTTTAGTTGATGTACGCTGAATTTAAGCACATGATTCCAAATGGAGAAGACAGAATCTATATTACTCTCGACGACATGATTAATTACTATGTACCAAGATATTTGCGTACTGTAACTCAACTCGAAGAAGTTATGAAAACTTACGGAGTGCAAGGTAAACAATTTTTTTTAATAATCATAAAACTGTGGTTTTACAGTATTATATTTCTATGGCTATGTTTTAAAACAATAAAACGTTTTATAATTATTTATTTATAATTTTTAGTAAGCTGTATATTTTATTAATGCTATGTTGGCGATTTTCAGCTGATGATAACCAATACCATTTAAAATTCAAAAAATTTAGAATAGCGATGTGCATTGGTGATCTTCCAAACCCTAGTTATGAAAATGGGTATGCGTAACGTTGTCGACAAGGTGCTATTTTAATAAAAAAACGCTAAATTGCTAATCAAAATTAATAATCGTTTTAAGAATAATTAATTAATTAGTCATCATAATAGTGTAAAATAATATAATAATTATAATGTGCTGTTTAATTCTTAATTAGACACTATCATATTTAATTCAATAAAAAATATATCGAAACAATATTTGTTATTGTTTTTTTTAACACTTATGTTAGTAATACTGAAAACAACAAATATTGTTTATTAAAAGGACACGGCTCACAGTGGTCCAAGAGTGAAATCTAGGCGCTCAAAAGTCCTATTAATAAATATGCAAAAAATATCAAAACAATTATGAATTATTAATTTTAATATGTTTCTTAGACATAATAAAAAATTTCAAGGTCATATGTGTACCTGGACGTTTTTTATTGCTATTTAAAGTTCAGTTTTTATAGTTTGGCGGTTATTTTGATTTCAAAAAATAATATTTCGTTACAATTTTTTTACCCTTTGATATTCTTAAAAAAAATTTTTTAATTAATTTTTTTCATTAATAACTAGTAAATAACCAAAGGAAAAAAATTTTTTTTTTAAAAAATGTTTTTTTTCAAACTAGTTATGATAATTTTGAACGAAAAATATCTGATGTTTTGCATGTTTTTTTTTTTTAAAGAGAGTAGTACTAAAATTTGCCAATTTTTACCCACATAGCAATACATAGGTGTTGTAGAGCAAGTATTCAGGTTTTTAAAAATATTAATTTTTTTTGCGACAGACAAAAATTAATTAGTACACAAGACAAATTAAAAAGTATGATTTTTCAGTTTAGCGGTTATTTTGTTTTCAGAAAATATTATTTCGCTTACAATTTTTTTACCCTTTGATTTTTTTTAAATTAAATTTTTTAATTTAACTAGTAGACAACTAAAATACATTTTTTTTTAAAAAATCAAAGGGTAAAAAAATTGTAACGAAATATTATTTTTTGAAATCAAAATAACCGCCAAACTATAAAAACTGAACTTTAAATAGCAATAAAAAACGTCCAGGTACACATATGACCTTGAAATTTTTTATTATGTCTAAGAAACATATTAAAATTAATAATTCATAATTGTTTTGATATTTTTTGCATATTTATTAATAGGACTTTTGAGCGCCTAGAATTCACTCTCGGACCACTGTGCGGCTGTACCAAATATTTCGATTTCACTAAAGGTACGGTATATGCAAATTTTTTCGAAAAAACTTGTGTTTTTCTTCATAATTATTGGTCAGCTATAGTGTCATATTTTACTTGTAGTGGTCAAATTGTTAACATTTTGATGACATTAAAAAACAATATTATACAACGTACATCGCCGTTTTTTTAACACTGTAGCTACATAATATGTTTTATTAAAGTAATTAAAAATTGAAAAAAGTGATTTTTAAACATTTAATAAAAATTAAGCTATTAGAGAGATATATGGTTAATAACCGACGAAATAAGGTGTATCATCCCTGGTTATTAAAATGGTAAAATTACACCGGTTGAGCTGCATTCCATATTGATGGTTATGGAGCCTTAATGGCTGTAGACCGGATCGGTCCAGTTCACCTCAGATAATCTATTGATAATCAAAATCATTGAACAAATTTATACGTTTTCGGAAATGTTGCTTAACATGTATTTCCAACTACGAGACACTGTTTTAACATTTACAGTGTCAAAGTTTCCCATAAATGGGACGTCTCTTTTATTTAAACTATTATTACAATTATTTATACACGCATCGTGCCCGTCACTGACCTTTCGGTTGAAAGCCGCCCTTAATCCTATTGTCGTTTGCTACGCTGCAACTATTCCCCTTTGGAAGACTCATTTCCGCCATTGGTCTCGAACCCCGGGTAAACGCCCCCTACACACCCCTCATAGGACAATATTTACCAACCCTCTTACGGCCGACTCCCTGACTTTTGTAGCTGCTGCTGTAGTCAAATGACACACAAGTATCTACCTACTATATAACTGACGAGCAATAAACTCTTATCCACTTTTGAAATCAGCCTTTGGTAAGGCTATGATAAACAATTCGTCGTACATATCCAACGACTTCTAGGTCAATAGAAAAATTATATTTTATTTATAACAGACGGTCAGTAGAGTGCTTTAAAAATTACTATAATATATCAATATCATAATATTATAAAGGTTAGGCGCAGAGCTAACGATTTCAAAACAATATCTACTTATTCATTACAATTTTAAAAATGTACAGCCTCTTAAATAAGTGTAATTCAAATAGATTTGTTGACAGTGTGCCAAAGGGGGTCTTTTTAAAATATTTATTTTAACCTACCAAAACTGTATAAATAAATGAAATATAAGTTTGAAACTATATCTTTGCAAAGAAAATAAAACATTAACGATTATTTTATTCTATAAATTATTCAGTTGGCCGGTGACCTATATATTACTTTGCAAACTTCAATAACATCAAATACATTATTTGAACATAAATAGTATCAAAAAAATACAAATAGGCGTTTAGTTTAGTTATATTAATAGCCTTATTATATAGATAATAGAAACTTAGATTAAATGGTCTCAATTTCAATCGGTTGAATATTGTTAAACTAATAACTATAAATAACATCAATACTGAAAGTTTTGAAAATCTACAATTTTTTATGTATATAGACAACATGTCTGTAGTATGTGTGGTAAGCATTTTTTGTGTGCATAAAGACGCCAAATTTTTAATTTTCCATTATTGGATCAAAGAACTTCGACAGACATGGTATTATTTCAAATTTCAATCTAACATTATTATTCGAAAATGCCGTACATATATGGCCATAGTCCTCAATACACTTTTCTCTAAAGTAAAGGTAAACTACATTAATAATACCTAATAATATTATGTTAGTATGTAATTGTGAAGCTGTAACGTTTTTTAAGGAGTTAATAACACAAAATTAAAAAAAAAAAATTACATAAATATCTTAGTAGGTACTAATAGTAATAATATCAACAGTAATAATTTAGGGTTATTACAAATTGAATGATTTCAGTATTATTATAAATAAATAATATACAATGAGACCCTTTTTCTGGAACCATATTTTCACGACATTTCATTTCCTACTATCGTCCACAGAGATTTGAAGACAAGTTTCCTCGGCAATTATTTTAGCCCTCCATCCATTCGGTTTGTTGACAATGCATGCTTGTTAATACTGTAGGACACCCGGTTATGGTCGTATATTCGTTAGGTCATTCACACCTTAAGCTTTCGTTACGAAATATGTTCGTTGACCGATTGCGAAACGATAATCGAGGTTACACTTGGAGGTGAAAATAAATAATAACAACACTGTTGTGCGCAAACGGTCGTCGTGACTTACCGGCCACCGGGGCCTAACCCAGGGTATTTTCTTAACGAACGTCAACGGCATTATAGTTGTCACCGAGTGATGGCCACAAATATGACAGGTAGTCCCTTTTCTGTACATACATATAACAATGATAATATTGTACGAGTTGTATCGTAAGCCGCGGTATTTAAACGGTCGGGGTCGTAAGGCCGGACAATGGGGGGGCTGATGTAAAAAGGTTAATGACGACCCGTACGTGTATGAAGCTATAAGATGTCCGGCAACAGGTCAACGCGACAATAATGGGAAACAGGAAATCGAAAAATCATTCCGAGTCCCGAACGTGTCAGTAATTGCTTCCGGTCCAGAACCGGAGACGACCCTCCGACGCTGCGGTAAAGCCGGCAGCGGAAGGGTTCGGATTTTGACATAAAGAACGACCGCGAAAACGTTTTACAGAAGTCGACGCGTCCAAGTACAATACCGCTTTGTCCGAGCAAACACGTGTAGAATCGTATTAAGATGTTATGTTTTCGTATTTACCGTATCTGAAACGACCGGAGCGAACATTCTTGTGCAAAATTTAATTTCATATTCGGTTCGTCAACCCACGAATCGTTGAATTTGCAATTTTACATGTTATCATAAGGCACATGTCGTTCGAGCATGACAGGCTGTATAATCTAATCCGTCGGTCATTCATCAATTACCCGCAATATTATTCGGCTATTACCGTAGCTATGGTATGTTGGAACCGGTCACGGGTGGAGTAGTGGAGGCTTCCACCACATAATTGGTATAAATGGGAAGGCTTAGCACCTTGAAATATTTCTGTGGCCCCTCGTTTTTTTCTTATACTCGTAACAATAAATTAATTATGAAAAATGTTTTGTACGCGAAGAAAGGTAAATTCAAATATTTAATTGTTTGTACTATAAATAAATATTTTAAAACTGAATCGTTTTAGTTAGTGTGAATGACAATGTTGAGTAGAATTAATGACAGCGCAAAAATGTTTAGCCTTCTCTCCTGAAATAGTGACTCAGCTCCGCCTCTAGTTACAATATCTGTCACTGACTTTTTAGTAACTTATTTTATTAAACATTTTTAATTCAGATACAAATCTACAAGTTGTAACTAAAATGAATAATTATACAAGTTTTATAAGGTTAGAATATTGTTTTTTTAATTGTAAAAATTTGTATTTTTGAGGTCCTATCTCTATTAAGTAAATGTTTTTATCGACAACCGGCGGAATCGATAAAATCCCAACCGCGATTGGATTCATTCGATTTTATTTAACTTTTTCTTATTTTCCAGGTAATCTACTTCTTTCGTCCTAATCTGTTTATAATATGGACTACGGTGAGATATATATATATATATATATATATATTATATAGTTTAGTCTTTTAGATTATTAGTGGTTTGATTTTAAGAGGGTTCTATGAAACCTCATTGCTTAGCGGTCCACCGTTACTGTACCAGTTTGAGCATGTGGTAGTTGAAACATGACTGACTAACCACCTCCGGGAAGGTACAGTGGTTTTTTTATTATGTACATACACTCTTTTCAGTATACATATGACTATAATATTTATGGCGATTTTTGTTCACAAATTCTGTTGGACCTACGCGCCAACGGATACATATTTATAACAATAATAATAAAGTCATTCAAACACACAAGTCTATTAACAATCGGCCGTCGAATTACGTTATTATTTTGTGATTGAAAAGTTTCCACGCGCGTGTGGCAGCTGTGTTGGTGGCGACGGCGGCCGTGACTGTGCACATAGTGCGCCAGTCTGTCTGCG